AGCAGGGATGCACGAGGCTGGGGCTAGTCACTGGTCATCCTGAAGCAGCTGCTAGAGGAGTGAAGGTTTCCTGCACTGCTACTTTTGGACTTGTCCACGTCTAACTATTTCACATTGAAAGTAGTGTAACCAGCATAAGCTGTTTTCTTTCCATGTGTCTGGCAGAGACAGATTCATCATCAGGAGATGTTTCCTCCTTCCCCTGACTTAACGGCTCTTCAATTTGTGTGGCCCCTCTATGCTAGTATATTGTTTGTGCTTTCTACAGGAGCCTACTTTAAAGTATGACATGTTTATGTAAGGGGCGTTGATGGCTAACACAGGCTTGGGCTCAGTAGGGCATTTGGGACGGTGTCACAGAGGAATGCTCTCCCCTGATTTATGAGCACCTTCTAGTTACTCAGGTGGAGCAGCAAGACCTGGCGGTAAGCACCACCACACAGATCAGATGTTTTAAGTTCATAGATCAGCCTGAGGCACTGCCAATCACCACAGGGTTGTGGCAGTGCAAGCTCAGCCCTCTATTTTTAAAAATGACAAGCAGCCTGAAGAAAGAGAAGCAGCCCTCCTCCTGAAGCCTTACAGAGCAAGGTCCTGTACCATTCCTAGGAACCCTGTTCTGCAATTTGATGACAGCACACATACAGATTCAGAGATGGAGATGCTTCTGCTCACCTACAAGCTTGACTTATGCCATTCTTTGGCAAGACATTTTCAAGTCATTGTTTCCATGTGTCCTCTCAAACTACTTGAAAAAACCTTCACCTCCTCCCCTTTTACTTACAATAGGCACAAGTGGAAGAGGCATTCCTCTTCCACTGAAGACATTGAGACGTTTCCGTCATTTCCTTCACAGTGTGAACAGCTTGCTCGCATCTGAAGTCTGCACCTTTAGGACTCAGGGGCTCAGGTTTGTTTTCTCCTTATGCGGTTACACCATCCTCTGGTATCACCAGCTTCGCACTACAGCTCTGCAGCATTCCTCTCCTCTAGAAGCCCGTAACAAACATGCCTCCCATCAAGTACCAGGGGAGTAAGTTTCATAGAAGAGAAAGAACAGAACTAGGAAAACAACTTCTCCTTTGTATTTCTCATAATAAAGATCCTGGAGTTAATTTAAATGAAACCATTCAGGGTACTATGTACCTCTAGAACAAGGGTACGAGGACTTTGGTCCTAAGAAGTCAGTCTAATTAGGCAAGGCTGCTGCTGCTCTCACTGATTCTGAATTAGTTACCCACCTCTACAGTGAACACACAAGTGATAGCTTATTGTGAAAGCTCTGTGACTTTTGTCGTCTTGCAGACCCAGGACTACTATCCTCTGTGAGGAATGCCAGGACACCCCCTACAGCAGGGCAATAAGCAGACTCAGGAGACAAAAGGACACCCCCAGACAACCCAATGCATCACTCTGCGTTGCAGTTAGGCGTGCTGGTAGTTAGCCCACGGCAGGTGGTTACAGAGGTAGAGCAGCCATCCCACCCAGGTTCCCAGACAAGTACTCTGTGTTTTCACAAATAAGCAATCCACTTCTGTACACATGCACTGAAGCAACAGGAAGAAATGCCAACCTAGTCAAAATCTAGGAGAAGCTGATTACCTTGCAGGACAGGAGTCACTTGGAGCTAGTGTTGTTTGTTTTTTCTTTTTTTAAATAATAAAAAAAATCTGTTTAGAACATCGTACAGAAAATACAACTGTGCGTGTTAGTCTTTTCTTTTGAAGCAATAGGTTCAGGAATAATGATCCTTACTCCTCCTATTAGCATTCTTTAACCTTTGCCACCTTTCCATGCCAGTACTGTCTGTGACATGATAATTCAAATGACTAAAAAGTTGGAAGTGTACAAAACACAATCTTGATGATTACCACAAAAGAGTCTCCTGGGAACAAGAGAGTACCTGTTAAAACTAAGTTCTATAAAAGTGCAGAAACGTATCAGGTTGTGGGGGCTGCCTCGCCCTGAAGCACGCCACAGTGGTTATGGTGGGAGGCTGGGCGCTTCTCCAGATCTTGATTCCCAGATTTGGAATGCTAACTGAAAGTCCTGGTAAACTTGTACGGTAAACTCTACCTGTAGGAGTTAACCTAGTTTGGATGGGTTTCATAGGAGCTTAATAAAATTATCTGAAACAAAAGTAGGGGAATGTTTCGTGTTTGAATGCAGGATCATTCAAGGTGAGTTGCCATTTTGTCCAACCTCGTGCTCAAAGTGGGGCTAGCACTAAAGCTAAAACCAAGAGGAGTTCCCTCCCAAGGTCCACTCTTCCAAGAGCCACAGTCTTTTCAGAGTAGCTGTTTCAAGTCCAGCACTGTCAACTCTTTCATAGCCCAGCACTACCATATCAAATACCCACTTCTTTTGAGGTATAAACTAGGAGCAACTTGACAGCGACTTGTTCCTACCAGAGGACTCACAATTTTTCCCTGCCTGTTCTACTCATGTTCACCATGCTTGCCCGGTACAAAGCCAGGCTGTGTAAACCTAGCAGGCAATCCCACTTTGGTTCCAGGCCAGTGGGAAAGGAAATAGAAGTTTCCTTTGTTTTCCATCTACTGAAATGCTTTTAGCTCCTTTCAGATTTGTCAAAACAACAGCACACTTAAGGAATAATCTACCGTTGGCGTAAACCTGTGTTTGGTACAGGCTGCTAAATGCCGTTCTCAATTTGATACGCTACACTGACATAATGCACCTTTTTGTATCTCTCTCATTCCCCTATGGTGGATGTAATTCAAAGGTATTACACAAAGTTGTAGCTAGCCCCAAGCGAGTCAGCTAAACCTACACATCGATGTATAATGAATATGGTGTAGTCAAAGCTAATTAATTGTTCTATATTCATCATCAGTCTGCCATTACAAAGTTCCTTCCTCTTCCTCTCAAGGGCTTTCCTCCACTCCACACTGTTTCTGACTTCTTTCCATTGATGTCCAAAGCTCTGAGGCTTTCTTAAATTAACATAGGATTCTTCCCCAAGCCTACTGACATTATTTCCATGCACATTTGTCTGAAGTTCATTCTGTTTCCTTCCAAAGGTCTTTAGTCCTGAAGATCTGAACTGAACACAAGTCATCAGTGCCTTCTGAAATACAACTGTAGACTTCTGCTGCTGGCTCATCTCCTGCTTTGCTCTCAGAGACCTGTTCTGAAGGCAGAAGCGAGGTGCTGGATCTACCTTCTTGCACTATCTCCTTTCCTCCTCTTTCAGTGGAGCGACGACCAGGTAGGGAGTAGACCTGAGCCCTCCTGACGCGCCCACCTTTCTGAGCAGCAGCCAGGGCACACCCGCAGAGCTGCGCCACACCAGCTGGCACTGCCTGTCTCCCTGCAGCAGGGCATTAATAACCATTGACAAAATGCTATACGCTTCCAACGTGATGTCAGCTTATTAACCTCTGTCAGTTATCAGCACTGGCGAATGACTTTTTCTCTATTTTTTCTTTAAAACTTACCTTTGAAATATTCCATCTTAAACAAAGCACTGGCTACTTAGAATACCTCTTATTTTCCTATTTTGAAAATGAACTGTCAATAATCAGTACTGACTACGCTGAACAACAGCTGAATTTAACTTTCTTTTAACTTTCTTTTTGTTTGTTGGAGCTTTAAAAAAAAACACAAATCAATCCAACCTCTACATACCCTACCTTTTGCGGTATATGAGCCTACGCAAACATCTTTTAGAAGGTGCTGAGGATTTTCCACCTATGAGAGAAAACAGCTTAGAGAATTTGAGGGATTTTCTGGAACTTACAGTTTATGAGCAAATTGCTCTAAACTGGTGTATTACAGCAAATCCATTACTGCTTTTAGGAATATGAAATTAAAATATCTTTTCTCACTTCAGACTAGCAACCAAAACACAAGGAATTATTTTAAAATGGTATAACCATAAAGCCTTTTTTACAGTCTTAAAGTATTTAGGTATGCATTGCTTCCTTGCTAAAAAAAACAGAATCACAGAATCACAGAATTTCTAGGTTGGAAGAGACCTCAAGATCATCGAGTCCAACCTCTAAGCTAACACTAACAGTCCCCACTAAACCATATCCCTAAGCTCTACATCTAAACGTCTTTTGAAGACTTCCAGGGATGGTGACTCCACCACCTCCCTGGGCAGCCCGTTCCAGTGCCTCACAACCCTTTCAGTAAAGAAATTCTTCCTAACATCTAACTTAAAACTCCCCTGGCGTAACTTTAGCCCATTCCCCCTCGTCCTGTCACCAGGCACATGGGAGAACAGGCCAACCCCCACCTCGCTACAGCCTCCTTTAATGTACTTATACAGAGCAATAAGGTCACCCCTGAGCCTCCTCTTCTCTAGGCTGAACAAGCCCAGCTCCTTCAGCCGCTCCTCATAGGACTTGCTCTCCAGCCCCCTCACCAGCTTCGTCGCCCTTCTTTGGACCCGCTCAAGCACCTCGATGTCCTTCTTGTAGCGAGGGGCCCAAAACTGAACACAGTACTCGAGGTGCGGCCTCACCAGAGCTGAGTACAGGGGGACGATCACCTCCCTAGCCCTGCTGGTCACAGTGTTTCTGATACAAGCCAGGATGCCGTTGGCCTTCTTGGCCACCTGAGCACACTGCTGGCTCATATTCAGCCGACTGTCCACCATCACTCCCAGGTCCTTCTCTGCCTGGCAGCTCTCCAACCATTCCTCTCCCAGCCTGTAGTTCTGCTTGGGGTTATTGCGCCCCAGGTGCAGGACCCGGCACTTGGCCTTGTTGAACTTCATACAGTCGACCTCAGCCCATCGGTGCAGCCTATCCAGATCCTCCTGCAGAGCCTTCCTACCCTCGAGCAGATCGACACACGCACCTAGCTTGGTGTCATCTGCGAACTTACTGAGGGTGCACTCAATGCCGTCATCCAGATCATTGATGAAGATGTTAAAGAGGACCGGCCCCAGCACCGAGAAAACAAAACAAAACAAAACAACAAACATAAAAAAAAACAAAACAACAATACTATAAACAGATAAGATAAAAGACTGCAGGGAGAGAGAGCATCGTTTATTACAGTAATGAAGACTACTGGAAAAAAATACAGATTTCCACATATAAATACAGGTTTCCACATATAAAACCACATCTATATCCTCAGTCCACTAATAAGAACATTCCTGTTGAATTTCACTGTGATGACTCAGGGTCTTCATGCTCTCAGAGAACTTGAAAGATGGCTGGATTTTCAAAGCTGTTCCTTTCTTTTTTTGTATTTACAGAACAAGAAGGTCATATTTTCATTGTTCACATACGTAGTTATTCACTGGTAAGTTCAAGATGGGATACAGGATCAGAGACATACCTAATCCAAGTTCAGGTCAAGTGCAGTTACATCCTCGTACCTCCTACAGTGCTTCAGGATGTCATCTTTATCACAGTAAAATCTTTAGTTCTAGAAAATAGCATGAGGGCAACAGAAAAACATTTGGCATGGCAAACTAGTCCTGCCCATCTCTGGGTCTATGCTCCTGCCAGTAGCTACCAGATTTAGTAACTGCAGGGAGTGGAAGCTCCAGATCAGATGGAACGCAAATGCCCTGCGCTCCCAACCACAGTATGCAACGCAGTCGTTTCTCCCACTTGGGTGTAATGTGTTTTTCTTAAAAATAAATAAATAAAAGCCTTACCATTTCCCCCCAAAACAAAAGAGGTTAATGTGATATAGACCTTCACCTGAAAATTGAAAGAGAATGTAAGAGCATTTGCCACCTTGGGCTCCTGTGTGTCGAGCAGCTGGTGCCAGTGGAATGCAAGCAAGGATGCTGCCAACAAACACAAAGTCCTCTGCACCAGCTCTGTGCTAACTCCCACCACAAGGAGCATTTGCAGGGTGAGCTGAGAGCACAGCACAGGCACTGCCGTCACGTGGGAGCAGACGACAGGAGGAAACGGATGCAACGTTTGCAATGCTTCAGCCCTGCTGTGGATCTCCTGAGAAAGGATACACACTTTTTTTTTTCTGGTTAAATCAGCTCTTACAGACATTCTCCGCCAGGCAGTGAACCAGGCAGCAGCACCTCAGTGGGAGAGGCAAATCCCACAGGTTTCTGCATCCCTGTGGAAATAGCAGAAGACTGATTAATTTAACACCGTGCTCCTTCTGAGAAAAAAAGCAGTAAGACAGCAAGGGGCAAAATTCATATGAATGTACCAGCACCTCCTTCCTTCTTTGGCAGAGAACAGGAGGAGCAGACTCTACACGTCCACCCTCTCCCCAAATCACAGCAGTCAGTCAAAGCAGGCGGGGAGAAGGGGCTTTCTGCAAAGCCTGTGCCTTTGAGGCAGCAGAAGGGCAAAGCTCAGTTTTACGACTGTTGGCCCCAACACAATTTACCATTTACCAACTAATCCTCCTCCATTCGAGAGCACAAGGCCTGCTAAAGCTCTCATGTCCACTTCTCTGATTCTTCATTGTCCACACTGACAGAGAGAAGCCCAAGAGCTAATCGGTGTGTAATTCAATCGCTGTCCAGGCTGTGTCACAGCACAATGCTCTGCTTGTCGTGCCACGGGCTAAGGCAGCCAGCTACTGTTATGCACCACAGCAGGTGTGAAGAATGTCACTCGCTCTGACTGTATGTTACCACTCTGTCAAGGTCCACTTCTGATGCTACTGCTTTCACTCTCCACTTAATGATTGTTTTTCTTAATGACAGCAAGCTAATTGTTGGCTGTATGCTAAAAGGGCACTCACGGTATTTTTGATCTTGAATTTGGAATTCCTAAACAGCGTAACGTGGGCTTCATACAAAGTAAAACCCTTTGTTGTCCAGATCCCCAAAACATGGAGGGCTACTGAAAATCTCTACTTCCTTAGTCTTAATCCAGCAATTAATATGTTATGACTTACAGCATCCAAAGTGCTTCACTTTGCTGTGCCTCACACTGGACAGTGCCATGCACCGTTTGGTAATAGCTTAAATCTCCAAAGCTCCTTCATACCTAATTCCATTTAAATCAGTGACAGAGGCGCTTCAAAAAACCCTATCCACGTGTAGGTGGATAAAAATCTCCAGAAAACAAGATTAAACATGCCGCCATACTTAAATACAGATCTTGGGCCACTTTGAGAATGGCATTTGGTGCGCTTCCAGGTTTTGTTTTATCTTAATTTCCGACACCAAAAGGACTAGGAAGTTGCACCTCCATTTTTCTCTATTCACCCCACAGTGCCAGGAAGCTGCAGAAGAGGGGTACAGAGGAATAAGGCAGGGCAACATCAACCACTTCACCCGAGTGAAGCAGTACAGGTGTGCACAGCACCCAGCCGTGCTACTGGGCAGATCAGGAGCCAGTGGGGAACCGCTGCTGATAAGGCTGCAGCAGCAAGAGTGAACTGGAATTTACTGAAACTGCTAAAAACAAAGGGACACTAAGACAGAGAATGCCTTCCTTCACACAGACACACATCAATTCCTTAATTTTAACATGGAAACAATACAAATAGGAGCAATACATGATGGAAGAACTGCACTGGGACAGGAATTGTTCAGGCCTGTTACAGGAGGAATAGCTTTTAGTCCAAAAGAATGACTGAAATCAGCTGGATACCCTAACCAATCTGAGAGGCAAGTAAGCCAAAATGGAAATAATTTCCCTGCCGCCACACAGATGATCTTAAATCAGTACCTTTGGCTATCTGGAGTTTTTCTAATTCCATGTGAACATTATGTCTAGCAAACTTACCTAATCTTGAAAAGGGATAAAATACTACGTCACTCTTTCAAATCCTGGGATGGTAGCAAGGGGATGAAGACCATTCAGCCTCTCATCATCAGCTGCAGAGAAGAGCATAGTATTCATTACTCACAATACGAGCTGGCCATCTGCACTCAGGATGTTAACAAGTCTTGCTCAGTGCTGAAGCCAAGCTGCTCATTTCACCCATACTTGTCTCCTGCCATCACTGACGGCTGATTTCCAAACATGGGCAGACCACAGTTTACATGGCAGGGGCCACGAAACATTCCTGCATCCTGAATCAGGATTTAGCAACGCCCTGTGCCAAGCCTTAGAAGCATGTACAGCATTTACAACCGAGTACCTGCGGAAATCCCATTTCCTGACAAGGAGAGGCCTCCGATATTCTTGTTTTTCTCCTGGGCTTATGTGGCGTAATGGCCACACGGTAAGCAGGGCTCTTTTAGGATCAGTAACTGCTACTTCTGCATTGATGACATAACTTCATTCTCTCTTACTGAGGGCCTAACTTCATCCGTCATACTGAGAGCACGACTTCATTCTCCTTGTTGCCTCCCCATATTGAGGACAGGCCCCCTTCTTATACCATTCACCCCACAGCAGTCCTTTTCCACTCACTATTCATTGGTCAAACAACTTCACCCAGCAGCAGCAAACACCCAGCAACTTCCATGCCTTAATGGCTGGAGAACAAGCAACCCGAGACAGCAAGGCATCTCCTGAATTACCCTTCTTTGTTCCCTCACGTTGTCTCCTCACCCTCCATTGACCTGGCACCATTTCCTCCACTCCTGCAGCTGCTTCTTAACCCCAGTTTCTCTGATTTTGTCTTCTTCCCTGGCTGCTGATTTTGGCAGTGTGTGTGTGATGCCCCAGCTGTCACACCTAGAGAACTATCATCCTGCACGCTGCTCTGTGCCTAATCTCACCTCTGCCAGGCAGCTCACTGGAGCTTTAAACCAGCAGCTATGAACACCAAACAACTGTGAAATGCTACCAGCCCTCCAAATTTCTCACAGGTGGCTGTGTACCTGACAAGACAGGTTCAGGAGCACGGAGATCAAACGTTTGTCACGGCCCTGCTGGTATTCAGAGGTCCCTCAGCCTCATTTTGGGAACCAACACCCATCCCTGGGCTATGCAGGCTCAGAACGCCAGCCCCTGTGTCCCAGTTCCACCACGACATGCTACGACAATTTTCTTCTGCTAAATGCTGAGTGTAAAAATCCCATCTCTGCAGCACACTCCCTTTTCCTTCCCTCCTGCTGATCAGCTCTTCCTCCGGGTAGCTCAGAGCCTACCCCCTCCTGTTGGCCATGGCAGTGTACGTTCAGACAGCTGCTAGGGCTGGATGAAGCACCTGCTCTGGGCAACAGCAGCTGGAGTTCATTTTGGGTCCAAAGGGCCGAGGCCAAGCGGGCTGACCGCATGTGCACTAATCCGGTATCATCACCAACTCCACCAACAACAGGTGCCTCTTTGAAGAGGGAGGGAAAAACTATTTGGGGAGGAATCAGAGCTTTATAAAGGATATTATGGGCCAGGTCCTCAGCTGGTACATGCTCAGTTAAAGCATGTATTCTCTTGAAGTTATATGAGTAATGCTCATATATGCCAGTAAAAGATTTGGCCCACTCTCAGTGCTGCTTCTGTTCCCTTTTCGGTTTTCCCCAGGATTTCACCTCCTCTCTTTGCTCTGCACTGACCTTCCTTTAAAAAGGAAAATAAACCTTCCTGCCCCTTGCTTCACAACAAAGAGCTGAAAGTCATAAGCTACGTAGGGCAAACTTCAACACCCTTCTCTACACGTGTAACATGGCCTTACCACTGCCTTACCAGATGTATCCCTCAGTCCTGCTTGGGTCCCAGAGTCCAGATCATGAGCATGCTTTAACAGGAACAAGGATGATCCTGTCCTGAAACACATCAAACCAAACCCAGTTAGATTCCCTTAAGAGAAATCTGTCAGCCCAGGCATCATAAGAATTGACACGTTCTTGCTCTGGCCAGTGGTCCTCATAGCCCAGTGCATTATCCATCTGTGGCCGCTACAAAATAGTCTGGGAAGAGTGCAAGAAACCCTGCCAGAAGCAGCTCCTGGCTCAGTTGGCTTCAAGCAAAATTTTCTTCTCATATTATTTTGCCAGAAGGGCACAGAGCTTTTCCTAAACCCCCGAATCCTCTCTGCGGCTTGCTGTCACCAGGCACATTTCACGCAGACCAGCTGCACAGGATTTATTCGACCAGTTTTGGAGTATCAAAGCTAACTTTTTTGCCTTTGCCTCAGGCAGATGCTCAGTATGCAGGATTTCAACCAGAGAACAAGCAGTTCTGCAAAATTTGCAAATGCTCGGGGAAGTGATTTCTGAATTATAAAAATGACAGTAACTGGAGCTGTGGTCTAATAATCAAAAAGAAAAGGCTTCACTGAACCACTCTGGGTAATGCCACGGTGTCCTAAAGGCCAGAATAAGCACCTTCCCAGGACTGTCAGCTAATGTTGCTGGCTGCCTTCAGTGCCATGATTCCAGCAAAACCAGGCGAATGCCCAAATCTAGAGATCCTCTGCACACAGACAATGAAATCAGAAGTGATTTGTCTGATCCTTGCAAGCTGGCACAGGAGAGTTTGCCTGGGACACACTGCCACAAACAGCCTACAGCCTAACACCTGCCCTCATAACAACTTTATAATGGATTTAAAGCCATTAAATTTAGGTGGAAGATGATCAGAAAGGGAAACCCCATGGAACCACAACACCTAGGTGATAAAGGATAATATACAGATGGCTTACAAAAGGTGCTTTGAGCAGAAAGCAGTAATAAAGGGTCATTCTGTGACTGCAACTATAAGAGGAATTACTTCACAGGAATTTACCCTAGTCTTTAAGGTCTGTGCTGCTTGAGTGAAATTATCCACTTCTGGTTTGTCCGATTTACCCCCATTAGAAGTGTATTAATACAAAATTTTAAACATTTACCTGATGAACGTTCACATTAAATTAAAAAAAAAAAAAAAAGACTGATTTTTTTTTTTTTGGCTCAGCTTCATTTATAAATTGAGAGGGAACTTTTTCAAACAAAGACTGTGAAAACGGCTCACTCATTTTTTTGACGAATGCAAAAGCTAAAACATTTGGAATAATCTCTCCTTCACCTGCAAACATCTTCCAAACCTCTCACTACATCCGTGGCTTCAATTTCTTCTCTCTCTCAAGCCAAGTAGCAAATGTCATCAGCCAAACCATTTAAGCCCCTGGTTTATCTGTACTTCAGAAGCAGGAGCTCTTGGTATTAGCAAGGACACTAAGAACAGTGATTATCAGCGAAATACAGTAGCAGGACAATAAAAGGCTTTGGACCTTCATCAGACGATGTAGTTTACTACAGGCAAATATTACTAGAGCCCAAATATTCTCAGTATGGACAGAGTGCATCTGCTCATCCTCAACTCGAAGAGATCTGATGTTCTTTCAAGGGCCGCTGAGTGTGGAGCACACCTACCCAAGTTTACACTGCCTGGAAGGCGTTACCTGCAACCACTGATTTCAGATGGCACAAGCTGTACCTAAAAAGGGGCACTGCCTTTTCCAACACGTCAAGTCTCATTTTCTCGTTTGTCCAAAACTTAAGTACAGATTCTTGTCCACAGATGTGGAAAAAAAGTAAAAGTAGAACAGGAAGGCACAGGATACAAATTATGAAAGACTTTAGGTAGTTTGGGATTGCACAACTCCCTTATGTAACGCGCTGCCTGGGGCACACCACGTGTTTTCAGAAATTCCTCAGAATCCCCTTAAATTTGTTCCAGTGCTGAGACCCAGCGGATTCAACCTGCAGTCAGTGCCTGGCCATACGGTGTGCCACGGACAGATCACATCAATGAGCCTTATGTTTGCTGGCCTGTGCTTTTTTCAGTATAATTTGAAAGAACAATTGCAAAAATCGGAGACAAACAAACCCTGCTGATTTCATCTTATGTGCAGCCTCTCCAAGAAACGAGATGGGTAATATCAGCCGGTACCAATGGACAGTAATAGTCCACTTAGGGTTTATTGGTGAGAGAAGCAATAGAGATTGAAGGGCCAAGCCCTGTGCTGCTCCATCTGCTGCTCAGCCTGGCTGCCAGCCCCCTGCGGCCACCAGGCACACAGGCAGGGGCACAGTTACATCTTTTATGCCTCTTACATCTTTTAGGCCTGGCTGGAAGCACCCACTCACCCCACAACACAACATACCTGCTGTGGGCACGGAGCTGCCCCTGGGGGCCACATGAAGCAGGGCAGGAGCAAAGGGCGAGGACGAGTTGGCCCGGGCTATGCTTTAGACACAGCATAGATGTGCTAATGGGCGGTGGGCATATTCTGTCTGGAGTAAAGGACGGATTTCAATTGGTAAAGTTTCAAAGATTTGTCTCCTTAACACAGGAGTTTGTATAATTCAACATTTAGAAAGTTCTTTAAGAAAGAACCTCATTGCAAAAAGAAGAAAATGTACTTCGAAAATGACTTCCTAAATCAGAATTAAAATATTTTGTGTACGGGATTTCACTGTGGTACCTTGTTTTAGGAAATTAAATACATACATACATGTGTGTATACACATATATACACTGTCTGTATACACATACATACTCCTGTCTGCTCTGTTTGATACCTAGCAAGAACAAGGCACTCACTTTGGTAGAACTAGGCTCTAAGTTCAGCTTCTGAAAAGCCCTTCTCTCACATAGCTACAGCATGCTGATTTCACAGCACTAAAACAAAGTGGACCTTCCTGAACTCTTTACATTTGCTCGGTGACACAAAGACAAAAAAAATCTATGCCAGAACGTTCCCCTCGCAGCTTGGTCACAGTGCTGCTGTCACCACGGGGCCATCTCCTGTTTTGCTGAGGACTGCTTTTACTGTCAGGCCATTTTAAAAAAAGTTGTTTTTCTATGCTCGCTTAAGTAGTAACCTCCCAAATTTCAGGCTGCTTTTTTAACTCTGTGAGTCATACGGTACAAAAAGGCACAGAAACAACTCAGAAGTCTTGCTGGCTTTTCTTCCATGGAAAAAGGGAAATGAAACAGAGCGGGATCAGAGAAAACAGTGAAATGAAGCACCTGTTGAGAACAGCAAAGCATATGGATAAAGGGGCAAAATGTCTTCAAGTCCAACACAAGCGATTGTGAATTCACGGGTGCTTGTATGAATCCTTCTCCATTTCCTGCCAGAGAGCTTAGGTTTCACTTAATTACGAAATAAAATCACTAACGAAGACAGCTAATTTACAGGAATACACATCATACATCTGTTTACTGCTTTCTTCTAATTTAGCCCTCAACTTTCATCATAGCTATTGATGGCCGCTGAATCATCATGTTAAGAAAAAAGTTTGGCAGTGTTAGATATAGCATGAAAAATCTGCCACAGCTAGGAAGAAGCTAACAGATGGTGGCTGGACAGAAGCAACACAGCCACAATTCTTGCTACCTGTGGTTAAACGACAGAAAACGCAAACTCCAGAATACAAACTGCAGCTTTCAAGGACAGACAATCAAGGCAGAAAATGGCCAGATTCAATTAAATGTTTGCTAGTAGTCTTAACAGAAAAGCTATCTTCAGATGACTGCTGAAGCCCTATGACAGTAACTCTGTCCTCTTTGTGACTCTCTGCCAAAGAACTAAAAGGGGGGCATGTTGTAAGAGAGCTTCTTTTCTGTATACCATGCTGTGGCTGCTCAGCTTCCCACTCTGGCATACTGCTTTTCAACACTCTTTCAAATGTGTTGTACCAAAATCATCCCAAATCACAAATGTAAATCAAGGCACGTGCCTGACATTACGCATGTAGATAATCCTGGATTATGGGAATGAGGAGGGCCAATCCCCTCACCAATGCTATTTACAGAGCCCTTGCTTGCAGTGCCTTGCACTGAACTACCTCCTCATGCTTTCCCTCAGTGTCCAACCTCTGTCACCCCACGAAGGGCTGTTTGTTCAAGCAATCTGTAAAGCACCTTTGTACTTCAGGATATAGCAGGAATAAAGAACTAACCCAGATTCACTTGTATAGAAGTCACACACATACATCGTTACCCCAAGTGGGTAGTAGCTTTTCTAAAGCATATGGTTTCAGAAAGAAACCTAATACTTTCTCCTCAGTTTAGGGTAGATGAAAACCAGCTCAACTATCTTACAAGCCCCCTACCTGATACCAGGCACTGTGTTTACTCCATGCCATGCTGAGATGTTGTTACTACCTAGGAAACTGAACAAAGCACTCATCCTCCTAGGATACAGCATTATTTAAAAATCAAAATTGAGATCACAAGTTTTTGGAACAGATGGTAATTTCCTCAGTCCAGGTATGACCAGCATGTGAGACCACCTCATCCTGCATAGCAAGAATCCCTAGATTAATTTGTAATGGAAATTTTCCATAACAAATTTAACTGCAGTACCAATTACATGTATTTCTTTTAATTCTGTGAGGCGCAAAGCAAAATAAATTCAGTGATGTTCTCATAAAACAAGCAGTTACTGAATGGGTGGAGATCAAGGAGATTACGAGACAGTTTTCAGACTGGGCCTGTGCTTCATATGTAGACTTAAGAAACGTCTTTGCATCTTAGTTCTCTATCATTGGCATGGGATAACATAAAATACTGACTTCCAAAAGTCAGCATGTGATCGCAAGTCCACTAATACAGATATGAGCATGCACGCACTAGTATGCTCAGAAATTACCACTATGAACACACAGGCCCCTCTAAGAAAACATACTATGAGCTTTTCATGGACACAAGCTAACTTGCTTTCTATTTTGTTTTCACACTTGAAATTCTTTGGATTGCCCACAGAAGGGAGGTCACTGGATATTGTTTTATATTAGGAAGGCAATACTGCATGCTCGCAGAGACACCACACACTTGCCCTTTTTATTCTTCTTAGGCCTTCAAAGAATTATGCTGGAATTGTAAAACACACGCCACTGCTTCACTGGCTAAAACAACGGCAGCTGGCATGCAGGGAGCTGAAAAGTATGAAGAGTCTGACGTGCATCATCCCAGCAGAAGTCCCTAGTGCCACAACTAAAAGCGGGACCCTTATTGCCTGCAGAACTAGGTCACACAGCGTTGAACTGCCCTGTGAATATATCGTAACTTGTGAATTCAGGTACTTACTTCTGGGTTGAAATACTAAGGGCAAGCTGCACTCACATGCAGTTTAACCGTAATTTTTATTATTATTATTTATTTACTTTTAATGGCAACTTCACACAGTTTTACTGGAACTTCTGATTTCACTTGGCTATGGCATGAAGAATCAGAAGCACAAATGATGGGAAATCACGTCAAACAACGAGGGTTGAACAGCATAAAAGACAGAGGCGCCGAACTGGAAGCGCACAGGTTTCTGCTGAGCAGCTCTCCTGCCAGCCCCGGACTGCTGTCCGCTGCGTGCTCCGATGACAATTTGGGCACGCAATGGGCTGATGGCACTGCCCCTGCAGTCCTTGCGAATGGCTCTCTGGGGCTGCTCCTGTTCGAAAAATATTCCACAGAGCAGCATGCTTGCTCAGCAGAAAGTCACTGAACAGAAAAATATCGGATTTGAAGGGTGTACAGAGATTAAGGGCACTGGGGCCACGCTTCACACGTAGCCTTCAGCAGCGTTTCCGCTGCGACGGCTTTTCCCCGCTCAAAGCACAAGCTCGAGCAGCGACACGCAGCACAAAACCCACACAAGGAAGTGGCTGAAAACGCCAGACGCCTGCATTTTCCAGCTCCTCAACACACTCCATGCCTGGGACTGGGACATCTAACACCACTTTGGCTCAACCACTCGCGGACCTAACCCTGACCAGGGGCTGAGGGGACGGGCACCGGGGCGGGGCGGGCACGAAATGGCGGCGGCCGCTCCCTCCTGCCCCGCCGGGCAAGGTGCGCCGCAGGTGCCCGGCCCTATATGAGGCGGAGCGGGCAGCCCGGCCCCGCTGCCCCATGGCGGCGCCCGCCATGGCCGAGCCGCGCTCCAAGCGGCCCCGGGTGTCGCTGCCCGCCTGCCCGGCGCACCGCCCGCTGCCCGCCGGCCGCCTGAGGCAGAGCTTCCCGGTGGCCGTGGAGGAAGGGCTGTGCGGGGTCACCGGAGCCCTGCTGGAGCTCGCCTACAGCCTGCAGGCGCTGGTGAGGAGGAGGAGGGCAGGAGGGGGGTCGGGAGAGCTTCGAGGCGGGGGAGCCTCCTCTGTGAGGAGAGGGAGCAGGGGTGCTGGCGGTGCCGGGGCTGTTTCTTCTCCCCCAAAATTTCGCAAGGGTGGTGAATCTGAAAGCGTAGGTTGCGAGGTGGCTGCTCGTCAGCCTCCGTGCTCGCTCTGCAGGCTTTAAAAAAGATAGCTCTGCTATCACCTAACGTGCGTGTCAGAATCGGGGCTGGCCACGCATCAGATACTAAGGCTTCAAGTGTTTTAATGAAGCCATTACGATAAAAAAGAGATAATCAATGCCCTCCCTTCAGATGCCAGGCATCTGCGGAGAGGCACCACGTTCCGTATATCCCCCAGATCTTTGATGAAGCCGAGTATTAAACCAACAAAAATTAAGTATACAGCAAAACAACAACTAGTTAAGCACATGGATTAAAGTAATACTAGTGATTGAGAGCTGGAAGAAGCCTAACTAGAAACAGACCGTAGATAAACCTAAAAATATGAACACTTTAAAAACATTTAATGATTTCCATAAAAGATTTACCTTAACAGTTAAGTAGGTGCGGTAACTGTGGCTCTTCTTGAAGTCCTGCAGCACCCTCGCACTGAAGAACTTGTTATAAAATGTGGTGTTTCAACTCTTCTGTAAACAGAAACATGAATGAATGAGTGGCTGCAGGAACAGGATTATGCAAGTATTACAGCGATGTTTTAATAAAACATTCCAGTGTGCGCTTGCCCTAGAATGCCTTAGTGTGACGCATGTGTACGTGTGTCCCAGGTGTGGGGGTATCCTAGATGGTAATTAAAATACCAACTTGTTGTATTGTGCATATAAATTTTATGCGCTTTTTGTAAGCAGATAAGCAGCAGATGAAACACAACTAATTCATTATTACGCAGGGCAACAGATCAAAGCAGGCAAGACAATGGGAAGAAGAAAAACTTAGGAAATGCACACATTTGTCCTTCTCCCCTCATAGGCATTCTACAAGCCAACAGCTTGATATGCAGGACTCCCACCCAGACTATGTCCAAGAGGCAAAAGCTGTGTTGCATCTGCATGTTTAGGGAATGAGCGGACCAAGATACTGTAGCTCCCTCAATTCCTTTCTTGCGTATTTCCAGCTGTTGCCTCTGTCTTCAACATCAAAGTGGAGCAGAGCTAGTGTTGAAGTCTCTATAAGCTGGTGGCTTCCCACTGCTACCTCTCTCCAGTGCATTCTGTTTATAGGACAGCAATGTCACAGACAAAGTTCTCCTGACAGAATTGTTGAGGGCTCTAATAATGTAGTCAAATATTGCAGTGATTATTAAAACCATTAATTTCCCATATGGAACAGAACAAGCCTGTGGTGGGTTTACAGTTTTAATACTTCTGAAGTATTCTTGGCAAGAGCTATATACAACGCTCAATTATATTATGGTATAGTATTGTACTGTACATGTACAACGTATAGTTCAGTAGTAGTATCTATGTGGGAATAGCATTATCCATAATGAAGGTGATAAATGGATGCAAAGTTACGCTTGTTCTCTTCTTGCATTTGCCTCAACTTTTTCATAGCTTTGAAAGCTTTCTTTTTCACTGGAATGCTGGCCTAAGGAGAGAAATTGTATGTTCCCTGTGGGGACCATGCTTTAGGAAGTAAAACAAACAAAACTTAGCTGAGATCCTCAGAATATTTTCCTAACTGAGAGACAGCATCCGTACTTATGGCTATGTATCTAGAATTAAAGGATAGGAGTTCTAATAGAAGTAAAGATTTTTCTGTTGCAGACAGTAAGACTTACTTTATTGCAGAAAAAGTGGATGAAGACCTTCAAAGTGATTGTGCTGGTAGAACAAGTTCTTTTGGAAGCATCTCATGGATTCTGATAGTCACGTTCTGCTGCAGGTAAATCCCATCTCTAGCAAATCCTAACATTGCTTGTTTGTGTTTTTTTTGTTTTGTTTTGTTTGTTTGCTTAGGGTGAATATTTTGATCAATCACACGTGGCTCTACCGAATGTTTCCAAGTTCTTCTGTCATCAAGCTCTGGAAGAGAGAAAAGCTGCAGAGGCTTTGATGGAGTATCAGCAAGAAAGAGGAGGCCATTACTGTGGTAAAACCATCCAGGTGTGTAGCAAACAAGAAGTTTTCAAGCGTTTGCAATGAGCTGTAATTATTCTAACTTCTTGCATTATAGTGTTGGTACTTCAGCTCCCCGCGCTCATCCTGTTAGATTTCCAGATACAGTTTCCCTGTCCTATTAGTGCACATGCTTTTGTTCTTGATTACAGCACCTGGAAGCTGTCAGACATGCAGTCCTAACTCTGTGTGGTTGCTCTTCTAGCCAAAAAGAATATAAACAATGGTCCCCTCTTCCTTACACTCAGCTGGAGACTGCTGTTTCCAGTGTGCTGTGATGGATAATGTGAGGCTCCTTAAACTGTTTCAATGCTGAGACAGCCAACTTGTCTGCCTTCACGTTGAAACCACATAGAAGCCTAGAAGGCAGATCTGTTATAGTTCAAGACAGGCTTTGAACTAAGAGATCTGTCTGACTAAGGTTTCACAGGTACAAAGGAGTAACTCAAAGTTACCAGTAAAAAATACAAACAAACAAACAAAAAAAAAAAAACAAAATTGTTAAAGGGCTGGATATTCCTCTAACAAGTTTGTATTCTCTTAATAGTTAATGCAGAATACTCCCTTTGGACTACCATGGCATCTGGTAAGCTGTAGGGGAAAAAAAGCCATTGTTGCTTTCTGAATCCCTGTTTCTTAAAAAAGTGTTTGGGTTCTGCCACTTAGGTGTGTTTACAGCCAGCAAGAAATAACAGCTGCTGCAAGCTAGGAGTTGTTGTTGCAAAATCCTAACATGTCATATTTAGAGGGCCAGGTAAATTGCAGGAAAACACGGAACATGGTAAGATGAGCTGTTCATCTGTGTAAATGTAATTTTGTCTTTCCTTCTAGAAACCAAACTATGACTACGCAGTTGGTCTGGTGAAAGCTCTGGAGCTAGCAATGGTACAGTGGAAAACTATGACTCGGTATTTTGAAGAACTTTATGCCATAAGCATCGAAAACGCAGACCCTCATAGCGCAAGCACTATCAAGAAACAATTCATTGGGCCCAAAATCCGGAAGATCAAGCTGATGGGAGATCTTCTGACCAATGCTCGCAGGCTTGATTGTTCCCAGGATGGCAGAAATAGTCTTGGGGATTACTTTATGGACCGGTTGCAGAAGGAGTTCAGAACAGGCATAGAGTTGGAGCCTGGTCAGCAGTGCAGCCCCTGCCCGCCTCTCCAGCAGGGTACAGGAGCTGCAGAGGGTTTGAAGCGAACCCAGAAAGATTTTTTCCAGCACAGGAATAACATAGGGCCAATATATGCAACCATCCACTGCACTGCCACGCTGCCACAGTGCAATAATGACGGGACAGGAGCAAAAGTGAAGCAGGGGAGGGAGGTCGTTTAATGCTGTGGCTGTTGCAGCTGTGGGGCAACTCCTAAAGGCAGACCTGTACAGAGGGTGGCCTGGAAAGGAGAGCCCAGGAGGCATGATGCTGTATCACTCCATTTTTTTTATACCCTTTTCCTCATCTTTTGAGCCACAGCTCAAAATCCAGCCCATATTTTTTTTTTATTTTTTTTTGCTTAAATGATAGCTAGGTTGCTAGTTAACCTAGGTTGTCAGCATTAATCATATTTTTATCTATGCTATTCTTCCTAGAAACCCAAAGCTTTTAGGCCTCTTCTGTCTTAAATGACTACTGGGGTTAGTTTGTGCAAATTATTTTTAACAGTATATACAACTCTTATTCAAAGCAAACTTTAGTACAAAGTAATTTCCATTTGAGAGAAAAGCTAAATATTTTTTATATTATTAGATATTTTAGTATACTAACATAATGCAACAAACTTGTTAGAAGACAAAACTTGTTTTAAAAAAGTCTTTTATCACAGTAGCAGCTTAAATAAGTAGTCCAATTCATTTATTTACAGCCCAGCTGTTTCTAGTTGTATGCGTCTCCAAGATGAAGGATGCAAACACTTCCTCAACAGTGGGAACATGGCTATGTGCTGTTTTTTTACTCATTTTTACTCACTTTTTTTTTACTCACTTGCCTTTTCTCATCCTCGGAAAGCAGATGATGTAAATCAGGGGTCCACATCTAATACTCAAGAAAATTTGGACAGTACTTTTGGATACATGGTTCAACTCTTAGGTTGCCCTGTGTGCAGTCAGGAGTTGGACTCTGTGATCATCAGCATATTATATCACTGTAAGTTCCTTCCCCTCACCTGCTACAAGAGTGCCTTTCTTTCTCAACATGGGCTGGCTACAGGAAGAGGAACTGGCTAGATCAGCTACATTGCTTTTTTTTTATATACCACTTTTTTATGCATATGGGTTTTGCTCTGTTGAAAGATTCTTACACTTTTATGTAATAGTGTAAACGGTATACCTATCGTGTTTGAAAAATAAATTCAGTTGAACATTAAAAAATGGCATGTAGCATCTACATCGTATTCCCCATTTGACAACACAGAAATCTCTTCCCCAAGAGATTTTTGCAAACAAACAACACAGTACCAATACTTACCTGCTGTGGAGAAAGTTGCACAGGTGACTTCAAAGATGAAAAGAGTAGACCGCAGAATGACACAAATGCTAGAAGACTGTACTAAGGTGAGAACAGTGCACAATGAAACATGGTCGGAAAACTCTTGACTTTGATGCACAGCTGCAGCTAAGTACCCATTTCTGCAAAACTGCATTAGCCTACTTCATTTCTGGTAGTGTTGAAACACAGGATAGACAATTACAGTGCTGATGCTTTCTCAAACTTTCTGCTAATAATGATTTAGCTTTTCAGGGGGAGGGGTGGTTAGGGAGGAGTCACTGTTAGGAACATGCTGGATTTGTCTGTTGGGGATGGCTGCTCTTGAATACATCAGAAATTTAAAAGATATTTCCATCTGGGCTGGATTCCAACACCCACTCTCACGCTGAGCATACCTTATTCAACAATTAGTTCCACTGACTACAACTCAACATGAATAAGAGCAATGGAATCCATCCTCCATATTAAAATATAGCGCACTTAATACGAAGTGAGCAAAACTGCTAGTTGAATTATAAACTAGTGCCAAATAAAAACAAGTAGTACAGCCAATGCTTGACTTCTACAATGGGCTTTTCCTTTAAGGAGTCATTACCTTTCTACAGTGTAGGCACAGCTTCCAGCATTTAACATCTTAAATGAGTTTCACCACAACAAAAAGCCAACTTTTCAATGCAGGGCTGCTCCTTTTCCCCTGAAACAGTGCCACGTGTGTTTCTAAAAGATGCTTACCTTCACCTCTGCAGCTGGATGTTACCAGCACATTTTCAGACTTCAAGCCTTTTTCTCTTCCAAAATACCTCCTGGACCCTCTGCCTGAAAAGACAATTCTGTTAATTTTAGGTAAACTCACAATCAGCTATTTTCCCAGTTTATCATCTGAAAAAAGAAAGAAAAAATAAATCAGTAACTGTAGGTAGCCGAAGTTTTTCTTGTCCACATGTTGTTTGTGCTGTGAGGCACATATGCCTATGAATATTACCTCAGTAAGTCTGTCAGCAGTACCTGTCAGTTGTGAATAGGATGAGCCTCTCTGTGCTTTGTAGTATGGGATGTACAATCTGCCTCTGCCTTCTCATCTTCATTTCAACCATACCCTGAGAAACAGGGATGAAGGATAAATGTGGAACAGTTATAGTGACAACAAAGTTTAAAGTAACCATACAGGTTTTCTTCCTTAGCTGGTTGTATACACACTCTGTACTTGCAAAGCAATGTCCAAAACCACCCAAACACACCACCTGCACTGCTCAGAATAGCCATCAGTGCCCTATATAACTGCATCTAAATTGGAAGCTCTGGAAGGACCTTATCTTTACTTGAAGTTATGAGTTACAGAGGCTTACAAACAGGTGTTGACAATGGCGTATTTCTAAACACTGCCATAAGCACTGCCTGTGGTTGTAGGGAAAGGGAGCTTGCTGCTGCCTACTCTCAGAGCAAGGAATTAACTTACAGCCTCTGTGGAGAACACGCCGTCCTTCCTCTTCTCCACTATGGCCACACAAAATTGAGAAGAGCAGCTCAGGATTTTGTGTTTTTGCAAGGACTTCTTTCAGGCATACCACAGAAGGCAACATCTTCCTGGACAAATGCAGCTGTGGGCAAAACACTGGAAAATGAACATGAGTTTTGGTGGTGGCAGCACAAGGTAAGTCTTCAAAGGCAGCTTCACTGGAAGACCACTCCAAGCAGAGCTCACCAGCTGCTCGTGGCTTCTTCCTGACTTTTTCACTTCAGTGAATTCATGCACTTAAGCGTGTTCATGGGCAGTTAAGTTACAGACAGTCTTGCTTGTATCGCTTGTCTACGTCCAGCCATTTGTTACTACTTTGCCCAAATTATGTGATCTGTGTGCAAGTCCCACAATGCTTTTTTCTGGGGTCTAATATAGCCTAGAAGCACGCTTACAGTGGCAGAATATGCTACAGCATGAGGTAATTATTAGGAAAATTACCTTTTCCACAAATTAAAATAACGATCTGCAAAGAGTTTGTGTGTTTTGAGTAGGTCACACGGCCAGCACCAAGCCTTGATTCTCCATGTACACGCTCAGCGTTAAACTATTTATCATTTTTCTGCTATTGTATGTGTGGCATTACTTTGAATACAAATTATTTTCACTTCTAGCTGTTCAGTAAAGATTAGAAATAAAAATCTGTTCATTCCTTCTGGATCAAAGAACCTCTGTACTAACAGCAGTGTTTCCACAAGCTGGCTGCTCTGCCTCTCCGAACAGCTGGGAGATACACTTGTAAATGAGTAAGGGTGGTCAATAGCTGATCTCCTTGGGACATATCGTTTTTCAGCGCTGGATACAGTGAAAGAACAAACTTGTACGGAGTCCAAAACATCTACCTAAAAGAAAAAAATAAAAAATAAAAAAAATATTTGGGGTAGTGACAGAATGTCCCTAACAGCTCTTATCTTTGCATTTGAAGACAAGTCAGTAGGAATTAGGGTCTGTAGGTTGGGAATGTTTGCAAAAAAACTGAATCACACAACGACAGAAGGGCAGCAGAGGAGCGGAGCGGGCGGCACCTGCGGCTGCCGGGCCGCCCCCCGGCCACTCTGGGGGGGGCTCCGTGCTCCACGGCCCCCTCCCCGCCCCTCTCCGCCCCGTCCCGTCCCGTCCCCCCGGGGGGCTCCGGCATAAATACAGCCCCGAGCGGCGCTCCCGGAGCGCTGCGGCTGGGGAGGGGGTCGGCGGCGGTGCCCGCAGCAGCAGCCGGCGCTCGGCAGCCCTCAGGGAGCCCCCCGCGACCCCCCAAGCGTCGCCCCCTCTCCGCCGCCCCCATGGACTTACTGGGCGCCATGGAGATGCCGGAGGGCTCCCTCTGCTCCTTCACGGGCGCCGACGACTTCTACGACGACCCGTGCTTCAACACGTCGGACATGCACTTCTTCGAGGACCTGGACCCCCGGCTGGTGCACGTCGGGGGGCTGCTGAAGCCCGAGGAGCACCCGCACCACCACGGGCACCACCACCACGGGCACCCGCACGAGGAGGAGCACGTGCGGGCGCCCAGCGGGCACCACCAGGCCGGCCGCTGCCTGCTGTGGGCGTGCAAGGCGTGCAAGAGGAAGACCACCAACGCCGACCGGCGGAAAGCCGCCACCATGAGGGAGAGGCGGCGGCTCAGCAAGGTCAACGAGGCCTTCGAGACCCTCAAGCGCTGCACCTCCACCAACCCCAACCAGCGCCTGCCCAAGGTGGAGATCCTGCGCAACGCCATCCGCTACATCGAGAGCCTGCAGGCGCTGCTGCGGGAGCAGGAGGACGTTTACTACCCGGTGCTGGAGCACTACAGCGGGGAGTCGGACGCCTCCAGCCCCCGCTCCAACTGCTCCGACGGCATGGTGAGTGCCCCATCGCCGAGGCCCCTCGAGCTCCGTCACGGGGCGAGTCGCCTCCTCCTGCCCTTCCCGTAGCTGCTGGCGTACGTCCTCCCCCGGCAGAAGATGAGCTCCCTTCTCCTGCCATGAAGTCCAGCAGCAACAGGGTCCCCACGCCAGGCTGTCTAGGAAAAGAAGAAAAATCGGTTATGGGCCTTTCCCAGGGAAAAAAAAAAAACAAAAAAACACCAAAAAACTACACAAAACTGGGAGAAGTTAGGCAGTGTGCTAGGGGAGCGGTCTGGGATGGGTACCAGGGAACGCAGTGAGGTCTGAGCCCTCCTCGTGCTTCAGAGCTCCCGGGGCACCTCCTCTGCTGGGGCAGCAGCGAGGAAGGTCCCAAAGGGTCATGGTAATTACAGGGGAAAACTCTCAGGGGAACTGATAGAGAGTCTGGGTTTTGTTTTCTGCCATTCGTCATGATAACAGGGCAGTCTAAGCAACAGTTGTCGTCTTTCTTGACCTGTTTGAAAACGGTGTTCCTCTTCTCCTCACACTTCACCTCCCCAATTCCCAGCAATAGGAAAAAGACCCCAGGCTTTCAGTCCTGTTCCCTCGTTATGGGGAGGGGAGAAGGGCTGCAGGGAGGCTGTCTCACAGCCTAATCTCATCGCTGGGGCTGTGGGCTTGGACTCTGCTCGGACGCAGGGTGGTGGGGATGTGGTGCCTGGCATGCGGGACAGCTGCCAGGGATGGGATCACAAGGGCGCTGTCAGCATTGAGATGATTTTCTATTTTTTGGTGAGGAGAATCAGCTCAGAGCTGAATATATGGGACTGAGAGAGTGGGCAGGTGGGAGACAAGATTTACACAAATGACCCCTCCTGCAAATACTGCCTGTTATTTTCTTTTCATGGTAGATGAAAGTATGGGAAATAAATATATTGGTCAAGAACTAGGGGCTTTTCTGTACAAAATGGAACTGGGAAGAGAGACTAAAGGAAATCAAAAGGGACAAAGGTAGACTAAAGGCTTTTTAAGAGGAACTCACGTTTGGAAAAGCCTTCAAAAATAATTAAAAAAAAAAAAGATTGGTTCCTCCCTTGGACTCCCTATCATAAAATGAATGTATAGGGCAATAACAGGTGAGAATGCTGGAAAACCTCATCTCTTTGGCAAAACTACAGCATTAGTTGTAACAACAGCGGTAACTTTCCTTTTGGAACAGCTGTGCCACAAAATATTTTGGGGGTGATTTTTTTTTTTTGGGAGGGGAGGCAAGTTAAGATCTGCCTCACTCTAAGACATAAACTTGATAGCATTTTAGCCAGGACTGGAGTGTTAGGGGACTGAAAATTGGGGACTGAAATACAAAATAAGGTAGTTCTTGGGATTTGAGGAATAAGCTGCCCCCCAACCAGTGATCTCACTCAGACTGCTCTCCTTTCCAGATGGAGTACAGCGGGCCTCCTTGCAGCTCTCGTAGAAGAAACAGCTATGACAGCAGCTACTACACAGAGTCACCAAATGGTGAGTATTTGCTGCAGTGGCAGTGTGAGAAACACGGCGACGGGGACAGCCAATGCAGCAGCCTCCCCTGTGCCTTCTCTGTCCCTGGTCATTTAGCTGACCCCAGCCGGGCTGAAAAAGGAACCTGCCTTTTCAGCCAGCGAGCTGCTGATGCTTGTAGAAGCATTGGATTTCCTCTAGATGTATTTGCAAGTATGGGGATGCGTTACAGCTGCATTTCCTACTTTGCAAATAAAACGTCTGGATAAAAATACATTCCTCTCGGCAACTAATCTCCAGTCTTTAACCATGTTTTGCATGAAGACTGTTCTAACCAGATATCACCGATCCAAACTGGAGAAATTGCTGATGAAATTCCAATTTTCCATTCCTTTTTATGTGCTGAAGCGAATCCCTGGATCCACCCTCCCCAAAAAGCAGCATATTTTGCTTAGGTCCCTTCCATTTTGCAAATTACAATGTCTTTTGTCATAATTGGCATCCTTCATTGATACTCATTTCCTTTCAATCTTTATATGCTCACAAATGAGTACTTTCAGCCACTTGCTGGGGTTTTTATGAACGAACTACATCCTACTGACACGCAGTACTCATTGGATAAATTGATCATCTCTTTGTCTGTCTTTAGATCCAAAGCATGGGAAGAGTTCTGTTGTTTCCAGCCTTGATTGCCTCTCAAGCATTGTGGAGAGGATTTCCACAGACAACTCCACATGTCCCATACTGCCTCCAGCTGAAACTGTTGCTGAAGGCAGTCCCTGTTCCCCCCAGGAAGGAGCAAGCCTGAATGATAGCGGAGCCCAAATTCCTTCCCCCACCAACTGCACCCCTCTTCCCCAGGAGAGCAGCAGCAGCAACCCTATCTACCAAGTGCTATAAAGGCAGGTCCAGCTGGACTGCACTGAAAAGAAATTGCTCCACTCTGCCAAGCTCTGAGACCTGCCTTCTAAGACTGAAAAGACTTCAAGACTTGTTCCAGTTTTAAAGTATCATGCAAAATTCCTTACAATACTTTTCAAACCTGTATTACATCAAAATACACCGAGTTATTTATTGGTTGTTAAACTAAAGTTATTTAATATATCTAGAGATAAAGTTGTATACCATGAAATGGCCAATGTTTTATCTGGGCTTTGGAGAATAGGAACCTGGCTCTTGAATGTGGAGGAAAACAGAAATCTACGACAGCAGTGGCATGACAGATGCTTCCTATTACCCCTTGTTCTGGCCAAAATAAGGTTGTGGACCATTTTTTGTAAAACATTTTGTATAATTGTAAATAAGAGTTGCTTTGAAAAAAAAAAAAAAAAGGAAAAAACAAAACAAAAGATTAAAAACAACAAAAAAAAAAAAGGAAAAAAATATTTAATGTTGCTTGGTTTGTTGTGCCAAACTTTAACTTTATATATTTATACAATGTGGTTGCCAAGAATGTTTTCAACATTATTCTAAATAAAGACCCTTATTTATAAAATCTATGGCGTTATCTTGACTTTCATTAGGGCTTCTAGAATTACTAGTGCATTTAGGAGTGGTGTTAAGATCGCTGCCTTGGCAGGAAGAAGATACAGGCTCTGATTCAGCAACGAAATCAAGAACATGCTTCAGCTGCACTACTTTCAATTACTTTGTGTAACGGCGTTGCTGAACAGGGGTCCACCTTCTTTGTGTAGTATCTTAGCAATTTATAAACCAAGTCTTACACACTGATGGTCCTTAAAAAACAGATTTGTAAAGTAAATAAGCATATTTCTCTTCCCCCCAAGTTTACAATTACATTGTAGGATTTGAGCTTACACAGCTTTATCAGAACTACTGGTCTCGGTAACTCAGATTCTTCAACGTCCCTTGCAGCTACCGTAAGTTAAAGTCTTGAGACCATATTTTGCAAGACCTACACCCTGAGACAGATGTTCAGATTTTTCCATTCAAGTTTTAATTTTCAAGTGTTTGTACCATGGTCATATCAGGTATTAGAATTTAATCTCAAGTGATTTTCTGTCATCAAGTTCAAAGTATAGATCACGGTTTTCCTCAAGTTCAGGTCAGAATTCAGGCCAAAGAAAGGCAGTTTTAATTTGGATTTGAACTTTATGCATCTCTGGCAACACTACTCCAGGGATTTATTTCTTGTTTAGAGCCTCGCTAAAAATTACCAGTGGGGTATGTTTCATTCAGTATACACGTGTAACCTCGCAAGCTTGCCCTGCTCAGGGTTAAGCCTGGAGCAGATCGTCATTGATAAGTAACCAGCAGAGCATATCTGTACATTCAGACAAGAGTAACCAGCAGCTACAGCCCATATTCAACAACCTGTTCCTTGTCATAGCCCTGTGATTTACGGCTTTTGTTTAAACTTAGCAGCTCTTACCTCTTAAGCAGGAAAAAGGAAGAAGGGAAGAGCTCATCAGCTCCCTCGTTGTGTGTGCCGACCACGGTGGATGACAAACGGGTGCTCTGAGGCACGGGACCACCGTGCAGAGCCGAGGGGACTCTGAGGCAGAGCTGTCCCCTCTACACCTTCATCGATGTCCAGCTCTGTAAAGGTGTCCCATTGACTTTGCTGTGGGCAGAAAACAGTCCAGGCTGTAAGTGTTAGGCTTACCCCTTGTCCCCCTCTTATTTACCTTCATTTTTCCCTTAAATATTAAAAGGAAATGAACTTGTGGGTGTGCTCGTTCATACTGTCATGAATCAGGAGTGCCTCCGCTAAGGTGAGAAAAATGCCCCATGCTACTTTGATCAAAGCCATTACCCTTAACTTCAAAAAAACACTGCTAGAGCCCCACAGATCAGTACTTCACATATAAGTGATAACAATTTCATTGCCTCCAGCAAACAAACAGGCCCGCAACGAAATAAATGCTTGTGAGAAATGCCATGACCTTCCCCGTACTCTGAGCCTGGTAAAAGCATCATGGATACAAATTCACAATCACGATCATGGCAACCAAGAAATACTTCTGCCAGCTCAGGGACTAGAAAGACTGTTTTCATAAACTGGCAGCACAAAGCTGCCCCTGTCTCAGTTTGAGACCCCGCTCCTACAGGACACAATGGGAAGCACCCCGCCGCAGAGCTGGCACGGCACGGCGGACGCAGGGTGCTGGTGCCCAACAATGTACATGCAGTTCCACGTGAAGTCATGTATATTGCATTTCAGTGATTTATTTTAGCCACCCAAGTTTCCACATACTGATGTTAATGTTACAACAGAGAGCAAGCATTTGGCACATCCCAAAATAGATGGATGGATAAAGATGAAACAAATATTCATAGATTTACTGGGCAGAACCCATCTTTTTCCCACTGATGTCAGAGAGGGAGAAGTCCACAGGAGCAAGACCAAAGGGCATCGATGCTGATAAATACATGCTTAGATTACAGCTATATTTATTTTTCAACTTAAATAAGGAAAATGTACACCCTGTGCAATTTTTGCCTGTCTATTTCTAAGGCAATATTTTTAAAACAAATGCCTGAAAACGCATTTAGGGATCACCCTGCAAGGCCAACTGTAGTCTAGCTGGGTCTCCAGAAACACACCGGGGTGCACTACAGATGCACACCAACAGTATGAAACCATCGATGTATAGCCTGTGGGTTCCCATTCAATATTCTGCAGGATGAAGACTGAAAAAATCTGAACCTGGCCAATGGCACTGACATGCAGAGCTTGGGGAAAACTGAGGAGCACTGCAAACCAGACCCTTCATCTTCCCAAGCTGCCTTGACAAGGCAAGGCAGAGCCAGACCCAATGTGGGTGTGAAACTTTTCACTGAAGATTTTAGAACTGTTTGATGCTTCCTGCAGAAGGCTACCTCCAGAAAGTCAGATAACTACTACTAATTAAAGGAAATTTGCTGCTCTTGAACGTGAGGATAAGTGTGTGTCTTAGCAATGTTTGGTTTGATTTGGTAGCTTCAGAAAGCTCTGCTGAAGCTGCATGATGAAACCAGCATTATTGGTTTACCTTACCCAAATTTAAACTGTTACAATGGATAAAGAGAAAGGGCATAAATGTGTACATTAATTATGTATGCTAGGTGCTTTGGTTTTGAAATTTCATCAGGACATTTACAAATATACAAAAATAAAGGGAACTTTATTGTCAGTATTTCACGCAACAAAAAAAGTGGAATAAAATTGCTTTTTTTTTAAATAACAATGTTATTATACACCCTTTCTCAAATTATCATTGAGGCTGCTACAGAAATATTCACAGACTAAAAATTCAATTTTAGCTGTAAGAAAAATGTTAACTACTGCTGGTATATTTTTCCTTTTAAAATATTTTATCATCTGCATCCAATAGTAATAAAGCAGTATTAAATTGGCCGTTTTGTACCAGATGCTGCTCTTTTAAAATGACTTGTCATTTTCAGCACAAGATAAAGACCTTATACCAGACCTTACTGAACGTGGAAGGAAAAGCAGTTTGCATTTTACAGTTTGCATTTTGCAGAGATACTTAAAAGTGCCAAATAGCACACAGGGCAAAACCTGCTCATTTCACTCGTAAAAGCAGCATTATCATCACCAGAAGAGTCACATCCAAAGGCAAAACAGAGACGGAAGCAAGACACCACCTGCATGTTAAATGAAATTATTTCCCTCTTGATTAAAATTATTAATTTGTTCCTTGAAATCAGTGGCTGAGCTTCTGGTATGGAAATACTAGGCCCTATACCAAACATCCAAGAGACCATCTTGAAAGGTATACCTGAGCCCCTCACTTACTACTTACTTACTACTGCTTCACTGCTAGCCCTGCCTCAGCCTTTCAAATCACATTTTTCAGTAAATCTGTTGCACAGCCATGACTTTCTCTCCTTGGTCTATGCAGCTCCCTTCTCAAAAAGTTTGTTGCACAGCTGGGAATGACATTAAGTAGAGACTAGTGGCTCACCACTCAATATTTGAGATTTCAGGGCTAACAACGGACAGAATGAGCCTTAGCATAATACAGAAGAGCCTCCGCATTGTCCCTTCCCACCCAGGTCCCATCAGAAACTAGGAACTTCAGGAACTTTTATTTTCTATATGGGTCTTAACAACATAAACAAGTGTGGTATATTATATAAGACTCAAGGAATGACCCCATATTCGTCAGTAGGCAGGCAAATACTGAGTATGAAGTGAAGCTTTCCACTATTTTTGTTTTTTTTTGGCTTGGAATCAGATTCATTTAGAAGTCTGGGTCTCAGCAGTCAGCTAATGTTGCAAGAGCATGGTTGTAAAATGGGTCTCCCAATTTTAAGGGACCAGATAGGGAGGTGCTGGATAAAAACCCTGGAAACACCAGTCCCCCCTTGGCAGCCTGAACTGACCTTGAGCTATTTTTTTTGTCCAACAGCGGCATCTGCTGGATAGCTTGCAGACTGCATTTCTTCGTGAGGTCAACTCCTGGTGTGTTGAATGTTCTGTTTTCTCATCTCTTCATAATGGAAAATCAGTCGGTGGAGAAACGGCAAAAATATTCACTGTCTTCAGTCACCACCTGGAGCTCCATACGCCAGGAAAATGCCAAGCACTTTGCTACCAAAGAGCCTTCTTGAAAAAAAACAGGAGAAAATTGGAAGGAATAGCAGGTTTTTATTTTTATTTTTATTTTTATTGATGCACAAATCTGGGGAAATCGGTCTATTTTCGTTTGGGTATGTCCTGAGTTGTTAGAAATGGTGCTGGGGGAGCCAGGTTACTTACCAGAAGGCAGATGAGGCACAGGCACAAGAGCAGATGACAGTGGGCTTGCAATGCCATGGTCCTCTGGTCCTCAGTGGCACACAAACCTCATCATGCACAGTCACCTCCACCTAAGTTGCAGGTGTAGAACAGGGCAAGCTGAGAAACAATCTTACATAATATTTGGAAATAACAATTCAAACTACGCAAGGAAAACATTAGCAAGTGTAGAGGTGACATACCTAAAGGTCATCTACCTTACACCTTGGCCATAAAACATTCCTTTCCTTTCCTTCACATGGATGCTTTACTTCTGAATCCTCAAACGAATGCAATCGGCTGATGTATCTGAAAGACAAAACCTGAATGACTTGAATTTTACTTGTGGATTAGCTTCACATTCAGGGAGGATATAAGGGTCCTCTTGGTTCACTGACGACCGCTGTGTGCAGCACCCTATGTCTGACTGACTGCGAGCCAGGATGGTTGTTTTTCTGTGTGTTTATTTATTTATTTCATTTATTTATTTATTTTTAGGAGACAATGCATCACATTTGGGAACAGATGTCCTGTGAGACCTGTGCATTCAGCTCAGGACTGTTTCCTCCCGTGTGGTTCTGTTTGAAATGGGTGGTTTCGACTAGCACTGTGTGGCAGAGCATTACAACCCTGCTGTTTGTGAGAAATGCTTCTCATTTTCAGTTGCTTGTTCACAGAAGAGAGTCAGCAGGCCTGTATACCAGTAAAGCAATGCCTTGTCGTTACAACTCTCTTTACTTTGCCTTATGCTACTTGTGGGTTTCCTGAGGCTGCAACTCAGACAATCCATGCGCCTTTTACGCTACCAGGCATATTTTATTCCTACTTGCTGCCACGTGAGTGGAAATTATATTATTGCAATTAATAAGCAACTTGTGCTTTCTTTTTTTTTCAGGCCGCTAGAGGGAAGCATTTCTATGAAAAAGAGGAATTAGATGATTTCTTCAGTGCGTACATATATATTTTCTTCCTAAACTTTTATATAAATCACTTCTCCAATTCAGGTAGAGCATTTCACACCATGACAACCGAAGTTAACGTACTGAATTCCTGCCTTGTGTAACTTCATTGGTTTTACTGGCAGTTGACACTGCGTTGGCACCCTTATCTTTAGGATTTATCACAGCGAGGCCAAATTCATGGCTTGCAAAGATTCACTTCTATGTGAAAAATCACAGCCGTTTATGTCTACATGGCAAAGTATCCCTGTGAGTTGAATAAAGGTGGCTAGGATAAAGACTGTGTTATAGCTAAGCGTTTACACAACAGCTTGTAGATGGAGTCCTATTCTTCAAATTGGCCGGCTAATGCTCCCATTACAAACATAATGCCACGGAAATACAAACGTATACAGGGAAGGACATGTGTCACACTAGTCATTTCCTTCGTTTTGGAAAGGAAGCATGGTGTGCACTCAACACAGATGCTCCGTGCTCTCGAAGGCGGTCTTCTAGAGAACTAGACACTTGAAATAGCTTGCAGTTTAGAGCCAGCTGCACAAAATGTAGGCCCAAACATGCCTTTAAAAAGCTGCACAAATGCCAATTACATTAAACGATATGAAAAAAGCAACAAAGTAATGTGCCTAATTAACAAAGCTAGAGATGGAGCCAGCCATTTGGTTTGAAGTACTTCCAAGAGAGATGTTAAATCCAATGGCCAGGGCAACTCTGGAAGAAATAAATTAACATGCTGGGTTAATATTTCAAGCTCTGTGGGCGTAAACTGTGTGTGGTGAGGGGAAGCAAAGGTAAAAATATCACAGGGTACTATTTTGTTTGTTTGTTTGCCAAGGACACTTTAGCTTTTGCCATTTATTTATTCTTCACAGTATGCTAGAAAATATGCAAGACGACAAAATTACTGGCATTGCGTCACTGACTTTCCTAAACTTATCTTTTTGCCACCTGTTCAATCGATCTCAAGGTCAAGAGAAACCCTTGTTTTGAGTGAATGAATTATGGCATAGGCACATTCGTGAAAAATACATTAGCAGTGTTCTTTTATCTTTAGTACTATGTGCAACCACAGCTTAAAGAAGCCTCTTACCATAGGGCTACTCTGAGAAAGAAGACGCAGTGGTTTGTGCGGCTTTCTATTTTTTTTTTGTTTTGTTTTAAATTGGTTGGAAACAGAAGTGCTGAGGTACTAACAGGCCAACTCCTGTTCCTATCCCTGCCATCAGACCCGTTCCAAAGAGTGTTTATCAAAATGCTGATAAGTGCTATATACATACATACATACATATACATATATATATATATACAATATATATATATATATAAATAAATAAATAAAACAAAACTCACTCACAAGCATTATGGGCCTTTGACTTCAGCCTAGGTGTGGAAGAGGAAGGCGCTGTTCTGCTGCCAGCTCTGCCTGGTACAAATTCTAAGGAAATGACATCAAGGCTCAGGTCTTCAACATCTCTCTTGCTGTCTTCTGTCATGAGAAAGATATTTAGGTTAAAAAATAAATAAAATGCAAGCTCCTGCTAGCTAAAATGCAACCTAGTGAATTGTCCATGTATAAGTAGAACCAAGATTCTACGGACCTCAGGTCTCTTCTGTCTATGAGCAGGAAGGATCATGATTTTCCACTTGAAGTTAGATAAATCTGTTGTTCTAGAGCTCTGTGGTTAGAGATGTACTTTCCTTTCTCACTTGGGAATTACAAAGATAGCAGAGAATGCCCTAGACACAGCTTTGTTCCAAAATATTTTTATCTGGGTCCCGTATCTAAGAACTGACTGATAGCTGTCCAGTCCAAAATCATAGATACCAGTCATTCAGTGAGCTCTGCCCATCACAAGCTCCCAAGCCACAGCAAGTACTGTGGCTTGAATCCTTTCCAGAACTCATCTATTGGCAGCTGTTTCCATCTGTTCCTTCTTGAGCAGTTCTGCCCAATCCCTAGGGAAGGGCAGCAGGACTGTCATTGCACTGAACTTGCTTGTAGTGAGCTGGTGGCTCATGTTTTACCTGAATATGTCATTTTGCCTCATCTGCTGTCTGGCTTCTTTTTGCAATAAGAATTCTGAGTTCTGCTCCTCATGAACGACAAAAAAAGCTGTCCCTTAGATGTGGATGACAAAACATTATTTCCTCTTTTAAATACAAGTGATTATTATTAAAAAGACATAAAAGGCTGATCAATACATTTAATCCTCATACCTGCTAGGCATGTAGTGATTCCTGCACATTTGTTTTGCAGATGAAGCAACATACTTTTGACACATTTTTGCTTTGTGGTGACTGAAGGCATGTGACCTTCAAGCATTTCACTTCCATCAACATTACCTGTGGCTTTCATGTGGTAGGATTTTTGTTTGCTTTCTTGTCTTTTGGTGTTTTTGTTTGTTTGTTTATTTATTATTTTTTGGCACATCATGTAATATAGAAGTTTAAAAAAAATAATCAAAACCCATGTCTACTTCCATGTCTTCTATTTAAGACACCAGTGGCTACATTTCCAGACATGCAACTGACCCTTTAGAAATCTTGGTTGGCTGAGCAGATGTCTAGGTACATAAGACTCATTTATTAATTTTTCCCCATCACTATTTGTGTCCCTGTTAACTTGCTCTCTACAGACTAACATTTATTGGTCGTAGTGAATTAAAAGACTTTTTTTTTTTTAACCAAGTTAATTAGTTTTATATTTTCAGTGCTACAAATTTTACTTGATGTTTTGATAGACCACGTCTAGCCCGATTTCCAATTTGACTTCAGACCTCCTGGACCTTTGACGTGCATGGCTGAAAATGCAAGCCTTCGTGCATAAACATCATTTTTTCTTCCAAAGTACCTCTAAATACCTCCCTAAACACAAGACACATTCTGCAGCTCCTACTCGGTCTTTGGTTGGGATGGGGGGGAAATAGCTGAAAGGACAAGCAACGTAACAGAACATGGAAAGGAAGCTGAAGAAGAATCTGTTAGCAATCCAAATGCAATCATCTGGGTTTTGGCCCAACCTTTATTGTGTGTAGTTATATATAGGCAAACACACCCCCCCAGGTGACCATATAAACATACGGTCAGGAAAACTGGAAGTAATTTCATTGAATTCCCACATCACCTTTTCTGGGATGTGCTGTTCTTGTAAGCATACGTTTATTTGCTTGGCTTACGTGGTGGTCAAACTGGGCTACAGAAGTGCAGCACCACCGTAGCACTTCTGCATGGAGATCTCTTCATCTGCTGAAGGGCTCTTAAGGGAATTGCAGCGAGAAAGCAAATAAAAAGCTAAACTACTTCTAAATACATAAAACACCGCTTTTTTCTCCACGTTTTATTAGGCAGGATGCCTGTAAGCTAGAGAACAGTCCTAAAAGAACCCATAGGAATATATTTTATCTGTAATTAATCTGAAAAATTCCACAGAAGGCAGGCCCTTATGGATTTGCATACTGGGTACCCCTTTTCTCCCATCCTTTTACAGGAAAGCCTGTAACTATGCTCCAGTAGGAGCTCTTGTATGATAGGCATCCATCCTAGAAGCACAGAAAGATCCACTTTGGCACGAGAACAGAGCCCATCTAAGGAAGATCCACTTCTGAATTCTTGGTGGCCAACTCTGCGCATCTTATGCCACCGTGATCTTTCCCAGCTTCCTTGTTATTCCCCAGCCCCTTTTATTTCTGGAATACCTCGAGGCAAGGAGTACAACCGCAAAGCCTGGCAGAATCCACAGATGAATCAGACTGCATCAGTAAACAATGACTAAATGCACAGTGTCTTAGGAACAAGCATGCCACTGTGCTTCATAAGCCAAACCATTTAAATACAGGCCTCCTGCAGATCTTGTGTATTAGCAGGAATATCTCAGCCACAATCTGTAGGGCTGGTGCAACCCTTTTGCACCATTGTTCCCAGAGAAGGCTTTCCCAGGTCCTGGAAACTATGGACAGAGCATCCTCCTGCTCCCTGGAGTGCACAATTACAGCACATCCCAACAAGGGAAGGCTGAGGACAAGCTAATAGAGGTGCCATCCGTTCACTATTAGCACTGATCTAGCTCTCAGCACCTCTTATCTGGAACAAAAGCCTACTATTTGGCTCAGGAACAAGCCAAAATCAGGCAATCTGCATCCCCAGCAGCTGGCCAGAGATTTGTGACAGAAGGTGGATTTTGCTTTCCATTCACTCACAGTTGAATTGTATAAATCCTGGTTATTTACTAAAGAAATGCAGCAGATTTCATCCTTAGTGCCAATTATTTAACTAGCATGACTGGAACTATTATACTTTATATGTCTTCATGTGCAGCACACAAAGAATTACTTTAACAGGATTAAGCATCATATTTCATGGGACTGGCCACATAAATATTTACAAAGCTAGAGAACAGCAAAGACATCTCAGAGCTATTGATTCATGTCAAATATTGAGAAGCTGGGTTAATCAAGGGATTTAAGCAATGCTTTAAACATTTGAGTCAGCATTGTTGAGATTTACTTCAACTATTCTTACCTTTCAACACCAAAAGTTTTACGAACCGTTTATAAAGATGACGACTTACAGGCCGTTCTCCCACCTGCTCATCTGAGAACACTTCAGCCAGTGCTGTAAACTCAGGGTAGGCTGGAGAAATAACAACAGTTGTGGGAAGTGAATAATTCAACAAAAGTAAAGCTCTCATTTCAATTAAAAAAAAAAAAAGAAATGATCTAATCATTTTGATGTATTAGAGAAATAGTCAGCTGACAGGCAAGCATATGTTTTGTGTAAAATGCAGCATGTTCTCTCCTCTTCAGTCACAAAGAGACCCTAATTTATTTATTTTTTTGTTGGTTAAATGAAAAATATATACTCGAGGCACTGAGAACTGCACCCCTTGCTCAAGAAAAGACTGGTGCCTCCTGTTCTGTATTCTGTAAATTCTATATGTGAAATATGTACGTCTGTATCTATGGGATCGTGTCTGTTGCTGTGTGTTCATGCACCTGCAAATTAGCTGAGATTTTAAAAACGTCACTACAGCGCTAGTAGAGTTTCATTTTCAGAAAAAGCTGACTAGGCCAATCTCAGAAAGGCAAGGACCTTTGATGACTCTTCCAGAACAGACCACCTATAAATAAAATAAAGCCAAATCACTAGCCACTTTTGAAACTCTAGCTGTAGTACATGGCAGGAGCTACATCCATCAGCTCTGTGTGCACACGTTTACTCTTTTTTTTTAAACATGTAAATTTAGAGCCTTCAGGATTACTTCACTCAGCTCCTAGTAACACGTATTTAGCAGCTTCCATAAGCATGTTTTCGTTATGCGCTGACATGAATCTTCCAATACTGTAACTTGAATTTCCCTTGTCACCAGCAGCTTGTTTTGCTGGATCTCGCCTAGATCAGCAAGACAAAGACAAAGACAAATCTCTACCCTTCACAGAAATACACTTTGTAACAAAGCGACACATCAGCAAAGCTGTATGCTTTATTTCAGTTACTTAAAGGAGATTTTCTGTTGATTTCTTGAGGAACAATCATTTCTGTTTTGGGGAATGCTCATCAAAGATAAATCCTGACACTTTTACCACAGCCTTGACTAAAGCACATCTAGAAAAGGATACCATTTCTGACCAACCTGTATGCTTCAAGAGAAGCACAGGGCCTGGCCCAGTCCAGCTACATGCTGGATTCAAGCAGGTGCTGGGTGTAAGACTGCCATCTGCAGCACTTGCTGCCCTTCTTGCCAGGAAGGAAGGAGCAGTCTTCTCTTTCCCTGTGAGAAACAGGGGCTGGAAACCATCTGAGCCCTTTTGCAAGCACCAGAATGCTCCTCGTTTGTGTGCACAAACCTGATAGTATTTACTCAGTTTCACCTCCCATATCCAAATGGATTCAGGTGGGAGTTTCTCTGAGTTAATGATACGAAGAAAGACCAATGACGATCTCTAACATAAGACAATATTACTTACTTTTTTTTTTTTTTTTTTCCCCCAGAGCAATTTCCATTTATCTGATAGTTTGATATCTGTCTATGCAATGCTGACGTTTCTACACTGGCACTCTTTCTGAAGGATCCTAAATGGGTCTGCAAAACAAAGCCAACCTTCACTCGCAATCAAACTCAGCCCAGGACGACTGGATGGAGAACAAAATGCAATCCAGCAGGCCGAGTGCAGCAAACACTTCTCATCTCACAGCAAAGCCATGCAGTGGCTGAAGAACATGGATGAATATGAAGTCCAAGCAAAACCTAGGTAATTAGAGAGAAAAAAATAGCTTGGTAAGTATACAGGAACTAGCACTCAACATATCCAGCTTCTGTTCCCATGGCCACTCTCCCTGAAAGCAGCATGACTGCCTTGAACTGGGCTCTGTGCTACACAGCCCTTCAGGCACATGGCACCTCTAGGGCTCCCTCAGTCAACATCAAGCACCAATCAATTATTTTCTCCTTCGTTCTCATTCTTTCCGTGGAACGCTTTCATCCAGCTATTGACCGTCCGAAGGGGTAAACCTAACCTTTCAGAAAGGTAATATCATCTCTGCAAGTGCAGCTTTGTTTGTTTTTAAATGAGTTTCAAGGACAGAGTGAGTACATTGCATGGTGAAGTACATCACAGCTTTACATTTGAGGACCTCAAACCAAATGATTTACAGGGATCAATATTAACAGATAGAGCAATTCACAGCAGTGATGTAATCTAGAACTGATGAAGGACTGCATAGAAATACTGTTGAGTTGTCATGAATGTAATACAAAGCAGCACAGATTGAATTATAGCATTCGAGCATTACAAAACTGGTATTCCAACCCTGTCTGCATTTTGTTTTGAGATTACAACTCTTACAAATAAATCTCTCCCTCTCAGCTTCCTCCAGCTTTAAAACATTTTAAATGTGCTCTCAAAGTGTATTCAGAGATGTACATAAAGTCACAAGTTTTCTAAACATCTCTTTTCCTTTTTTTTTTTTTTTTTTTTTTTGCTTTTCTTAGAATGATCAACAAGTTTTGTAAGAACCCTTTTGTCTGAATATAAACTGGCTGATGACTCGGAAGGCTTAAATTTAAGGAGCCAGTGCTTCATTGGTAGTCACCATTGTTGGTCTCCTTGTTGGGTACCTCAGCAAATGAAGAGGCTAAAGAGATGTGCAGAACGAGGTGCTCGTTATATTAGCAAAGCACCAAAGCATAACACAAAGCCTCCTTGTGTGCTTTCCGTGCCCATACAACACTCTGTGATGTCGATCTGTGAATCCAGCATCTCCCTTAAGTGGTAAAATGACTTCATACAAGAAGAAAAAAAATGTTCAAAGGTTATTCAGTTTAGGTATATTAGGGAACGTATGCTCAGTCACGCCCCACCCCCTAAAATGAGAGGAAAAATCCCTTGGAGTTTAGATTAGAAATCAGTGAGCTTCTCAACTAAAGCCCTAAGCAGAGAGCAGGGGATTTAGAAACGAATAGCACACAGACCTACAAGCTAAGGTTTCCTTTGCGGACAGAATTTAGGGTTTCTGTCTGAAAGACAACCTACCTTTCATTGTATCCCGTTACCCTGCAGATGCTGAAGCAAAGGGCAGCAAAGGTGATGCCAGGACACCAGCCAGAGAGGCGAAAGAAGGACTTACTCTTCCTGTGTCATCAGAACACGGGAGGCAGTGGGGTGACCTAACACGAAGGATAAAATTAGCAAGGGGACTGACTCTTTTTTTCTGTTACGTAGGAGTTTTAAAAAAATAAACCAGACTGATGTCTCAAAGCTGTATTTCCACTGTCACCACTGGAAGTGTTGATTTGGAAGAACAGCAAAGGTTGCAGGCACTCCAAATGACTTTAATAGGACTGCTCGAACTGCATCTATACTCTCTGGGGTAGCAGCTGTGCAACTCTGGCCTCTCAGAAGGCTCCCACACTGAAAAACCTTGCTATGACCTGCTGCTGCTTTACCAGAATCCTTTCCTGGACTGTGAAATACTTGAGCAACCTACCAAATCTGTGCCTCCCACTAAGGTCTCCCAGCTCTCTTAAAGCTTTGTCAGTTCTTTTTGGCAAGTAAAACTTAGTAATGTAACTATTAATTTAACTCAAAATGACAAAAGTTATCAGGGAAAAAATAGGTAATTCCTGGACACACACATCCAGCTTCATATGAAGACATCCCTGTTTAACTTTTCCTTCCTGGGTGGAGAAGATACCCATCAGGGAGGTATCAAGGGGGCTGCTCTCAGGTCATTGACAAGGGATCTAAGCTTCTACTCTTTCGTTCATTTCATTCATTCACTAACTTCACTGCCATCAGTGGAGCTGTATAGGTGATCAAACGCATGCTCCTGCTTCTACAAGTTACTGTATTGTCTATAACGCAGGGCTGAAGGCACAGAGGAGACAGACAGCTATTTTGAAACTGAAAAGCCCGAACATGTACACGCCTGACTGTGACAAAATCATACCGATGCTCATCCCACGTACACAGTGGATTACAGAATCTCATTAAGGCCTTAAAAATCACTGCAGGGTAAGGGGAGACCCTTCAGCATCCCAGCAGCTGAAGACGGAGACTTGTGGTTTGAGCCAAAGTAAGAACTGGTTATAACATAGATATTTTTCAGGGGGACTAGAGGGGCAGAAGTGCTGCAGTTTGGGATTAAATGAACCTCTGTAGAAAAATTTTGCCCCTAAATTGGAGTATCTTTGAAACTAATTAGGTTTGCTTTATCTACTGTAGTTCACATATTGCCATTTGAAAAGGATTTTTATTTATTCATTTATTTTTTTTACACAAAACCAGGATTTGATATCACTACAGGGCAGGCTTAAATCAAAATTTTGATAATACACAGCACCTACTGGACTGAATTAAAACATGTGTTTTATATAAATTGACTACTGCCTAGTTGATAATATCAACTGCCACTCATTAAGTTAAAATCATGCTGTAATCTTCAGTGCAAAGCATTCTTTGCGTTTTAGTAGGTAGATACTTTCTGCTACGTACCTTATTTAACAAAGATCTTATTTTCTAATAGCTTCCCTCTTGAACTTCAAAAAAACTTGGAAAATTATGCTCTCTTTTTCCTTTTCCACATCAAAATAACGTATACGTTTATTTTTCCAATTTATATTTCTAAGACAGCTTCTCATTTTGGTGGCTATATTGCTCACAGATCTTTTGCAGTAGGCAGCTCTTGGTGGCTGCCAGCTCTCCTTTCCCAATTACAGCCTTTGTATCTTCAAAGAAACCTCACAGGTCGCTTTAGCGTGGCCTCTCCACCTGAGCCCACGACAACTGTCTTTAAGCGAACCTTCCATGTTTTAACACGTACCTTCAGGTCACTTCTAAGGGCCTGGACCAGCCTCCAACAGAGACCCGGGCTAGAAGGGAAAGCGAAGTGACAGAAGCTTGCAAGAAATCCCTTTCATCCCCACAGTTGCCTGAGATCCCCATACTGAAATTCCTAAAGAGGAATCACTGATGGGGGATAAGGTAGCCTGGAAGGCAAGAGCTAATGAGCTGGAAAAGAGCCTCTACAGCTGTGGATGTGCCGCTGGCCTGGGATGCACAGATCCTCCCTCCTGGGTTAACCTCGGTAACTCTCTTATCACTGTCTTAAGGTAATTAAGTATAGCGTTGCCTTGGCTTAGCCTCACTTTCCCTTTTCAGTTTCACTGCCAATACCAGTAACGCGCTCCCTATTGCCTCGTCATCCTCCGTCCCACACGTCACGCAGCACCCAGCTCCTAGCCCTTCCTTCTACCCACCAGGCTCACGACCAATCTGTTACCATTCTTACTGGCAAACCTGGCCTGTAAGCCTCTTTGCTACCTCCTGCTGCAACCACTGCAATGTTTTCTTCTCCACATCCCAAACACATGCAATGCTCCTTGGCAGCCTGAGCCACATGCCTCCCCTCACCAACCCGCCCACACCGCCTGCTCAGTAGCAGCCCTCCATTTCTTCTTTGCTGCTCTTCCAGCACGTCCAAACCTCCATCTCCCTTTGAGGCCCAACCTAACCACGTTCACAGAATCATCTAGGTTGAAAGAGACCTCAAGATCACCGAGTCCAACCTCTGACCTAACGCTAACAGTCCCCACTAAACCACATCCCTAAGCTCTACATCTAAACGTCTTTTAAAGACTTCCAGGGATGGTGACTCCACCACTTCCCTGGGCAGCCTGTTCCAGTGCCTCACAACCCTTTTGGTAAAGAAGTTCTTCCTAACATCCAACCTAAAACTCCCCTGGCACAACTTTAGCCCATTCCCCCTCGTCCTGTCACCAGGCAGGTGGGAGAACAGACCAACTCCACCTCGCTACAGCCTCCTTTAAGGTACCTGTAGAGAGCAATAAGGTCACCCCTGAGCCTCCTCTTCTCCAGGCTGAACAAGCCCAGCTCCCTCAGCCGCTCCTCGTAGGACTTGTTCTCCAGGCCCCTCAGCAGCTTCGTCGCCCTTCTCTGGACTCGCTTGAGCACCTCCATGTTGAGGGGCCCAAAACTGAACACAGTACTCAAGGTGAGCCTCAGCAGAGCTGAGTCCAGGGGGACAATCACCTCCCTAGCCCCAATCTGTCCTCTCCTGCCAAGCATCACGGTGTTCTGCACACCGGGTTGGACCAGATCATTGTGAGGATCTTTCCCAGCTTTCATAATGCTCTCTACAGATACTTTAAAGGAGGCTGTAGCGAGGTGAGGGTTGGCCTGTTCTCCCACGTGCCAGGTGACAGGACGAGGGGGAATGGGCTAAAGTTGTGCCAGGGGAGGTTTAGGATGGGTGTTAGGAAGAATTTCTGTACTGAGAGGGTTGTGAGGCATTGGGCTGCCCAGGGAAGTGGTGGAGCCACCATCCCTGGAGCTCTTTAAAAGACGTTTAGATGTAGAGCTTAGGGACCTAGCACTGTTAGTGCTAGGTCAGGGCTTGGACTGGGTGATCTTGAGGTCTCTTCCAACCTCGACAACTCTGTGGTTGCCGATTCCCTGCTTCCCTCACAGGCGCTAGGACCCGGCGGGGCGGCAGCGGGGCGCCTGCGCGGCTGCGGCGGGCGGCAGCGGGCGGGCAGCTCGGAGCCGGGGCCGGGGCCGGGGCCGGGGCCGGAGCCGGAGCCGGGCGGCAGCGGGAGGAGCAGCGGGCGCCCGCCGCCGGCCCCGCTCTGCGCCCGGCGCGGCGGAGCAGGCGCTGTCCCTTCAGCACCGCCGGGCGCCCCCCGCCGCCCCCTCCCCGGCAGCACCTGTGGGCAGCAGCGCCGCGCTTCTCCTCCTCTTCTTTTTTTTTTTTTATTTTTAATTTTTCCTCCCCTTTCTATTTTTTCCTTTTTTCCCTTTCTTTTTTTTTTCCTTTTTTTTTTTTTTTCTTCTTTTTTCCTCCCCTTTCTATTTTTTCTCCCCTCTCTATTTTTTTTTTTTTCTTCCTCCCCTTCCCTTTTTTTTTTTTTTTTTTTTCCTCCTATGTTTTTGGCCGCGGCCAACCAGCGAAGGGCCCTCCCCCTCCGGCACGGCCCCGCTGCTCCCCCCAGCCTCCGCCGCAGCGGCCGCGCTCCCGGAGCATGTCCCCCCCTGCCCCTGCCCCTGCCCCTGTCCCCGCCTGAGCCGGGCAGCGGCAGCGGCAGCCCCCGGCGCCGGGAGCGGAGCCGGCCCCGCAGCCGTCCCCTCGCGGGCTCGCTGCCTGCCGTGCTTGCTCGGATGCGTCTGCGACATGCCTGAGAAGAGACGAGATGGGCCAGGGCGACGAGAGCGACCGCATTGTGATCAACGTGGGAGGGACTAGGCACCAGACTTACCGCAGCACCCTCCGCACCCTGCCCGGCACAAGGCTGGCTTGGATCGCCGAGCCCGATGCCCACAGCCACTTCGACTATGACCCCCGCACGGACGAGTTTTTCTTCGACCGCCACCCGGGCGTCTTCGCCCACATCCTGAATTACTACCGCACGGGCAAGCTGCACTGCCCCGCCGACGTCTGCGGGCCCCTGTACGAGGAGGAGCTGGCCTTCTGGGGCATCGATGAGACCGACGTGGAGCCCTGCTGCTGGATGACCTACCGCCAGCACCGCGACGCCGAAGAGGCCCTGGACAGCTTTGGTGGGGCGCCCCTGGATAGCAGCGCCGAGGACGGCGACGTCGATGGCACCGGGGACTCCGGGGACGGGGAAGAGGAGCTGGAGATGACAAAACGCCTGGCGCTCAGCGACTCGCCCGATGGCAGGTCCGGGGGCTTCTGGCGGCGGTGGCAGCCCCGCATCTGGGCGCTCTTCGAGGATCCCTACTCCTCCAGATATGCAAGGGTAAGCCCCGCTGTGCCTTCCTCCAAACGCCCCGGCACCCTCCGGCCCCGTGGCACCCGCACCGGGGGGGGTCACACACAACGAGGTGGGGGCCGTGGGGACACAACCCACGGGGCACGCAGGTGGACGCCGTGGCAGGAGCTCGTGTACGCACCTGGGGGCTGCCAAGGCCCTTATTCTCCAGCATGCTCCTAAAAACGCACGGGCTGGGGCAGGGTTCCGGGCACAGGCCAGGTGCTCCCACGGGAGAAGGGAGAGCTCCGTTCCCGCAGGTCATTTCCCTCCACGCACAGATTTTGACAGTCAGGTGTAGCCCCGTAAGGAGAGGCACCTTTGTCCAGCCCTCTTCTGAGCTAGCAGCTCTCTCCCCTTCACGAGATGGAAAAAGGATCACGGGAGCTGGCGGTCCCTGTGGGAGCAGGGGATTTGGAGAGTTTCTTAGCCTGGACTGGAAAGGCAGTCTGTTCTCATACGTACCGCGTTAAATATTTATGATCCTGCTTCTCTGAGAATGGATAATTCAGTCGCTCACTTACCTCCCTACTCTGTCTTTTTCCCTTGTGGGAAAGGCAAAGTATTAATCAGAGGAGAGGGTTCATTCATGTAGCAGGGACACCGTGCTTGACAGGTTTCTTGCCTGGCTGCTGAAGGACAACTCCTCCCTCTCGGTGCCTGCAGTTGTTTGGGGAAGGGGAGCGCACACTGGTGCAGTTCCCAGCATAGCTGCGAATAAAGATGGTCTTAAACAGGCACCCGACTCCTCTCAGTCGGTGCCTGCGGTGCTGTTACATATGAGGACAGTGACATGAATTAGGGCCTGATTCTGCAAGGGCAGTTAAAGGTAAGGAGCACATTTACTTCAGGAGCAACAGCAGGATCAAGCCCCAGGGCAGCTGTTTGGATAAGCAGGAAAAATAGGTGAAGGATAGTGCCTTCACAAAGAAGTGGGCTTGGGTAAGCGTTACTCTGCTCTTAAACATACCTTGCGAAGGCAGAGAGCTGCTGCCAGCCCTCCGTGGGGATGGCTGGTGCTCTGGTGGGGGAGGATGAGCAGTGCTCCTGAGGACGATCAAAGGAGCGAGATCAAATTAAGGGGCAAATTGGATGGATGCAGGAAAGCTGCGGAAAGGCAAGGAGCAGAGACAGGGAAGCTGGTTGTGTATGAATGGGTGGTGGGACCGGCTGCTGGATGGAGACTTTTGGGCTGAGCAGAGATCTCCAGCAGGGAGCCGCCAGGTCTGCAGACTGAATGAATGGGAAAGCTGGAGCAGAGCCTGGAGTTATATCTTGGTGCGTTTCTAAAGGTTCTTGTTTGCATACCCTTTGGAGACTTCCTCCCCGAACAAAGAAGTTAATATTTTAAATGAATTCCTTTAAACAGCACGGAGGATAAAGGAATAATAAAATATTTACCACAACATGAAAGGATGATGCTGTTGAACTGCAGCTTTCAAATCCCCGATTTCTGCCAAGGGAACATGGAAACAGAGAGGGAAGGCTGGAGGGTATCCTTCAAAAGGCTTAGTTAGCTTCCTTTAATCAAGCCTGACATTAGCAGGCATCGATTTGAATAGCAGATCTCTCTGGTGGCCAGGAATCTGTTGGTAGAACACATCTCAGGTCAAAGCAGTGTGCTTGTCCAAGATGCTGTGGACTGATCCAAAGGCTGAACGCATAAAGCTGCCCCAACAAAAAAGCTACAAACAGATGAGAGGTTAAAACACCATTTTTCTTGGAAACATTCCGATATTTTAGGTTGGAGAGCAAAATATATAACCAATATTAAGAGTCTATGATGTACAAGCTGGAATTCTAGCAGGAAAAAAAACAAAACAAAACAAAACACGTTTCCTAATTCCCTGAGGGTATTTCCATTTAGGAATAGGCATTTTACGGAGACTTTTTTTTTTTTCCCAGTGGTTATTATACCATTTATTCACAGTTACATGTGCATACCTGATAGAATTCAACCCCTGATTTACCTTTAACTTGTTCTTTTTTAAAGGACTGTTAAATTAGGGAAACACGATTTCTGAAGTTAAGTGTCTACTGAATATTTCATGGGTTAAATACCATTCCTTAACTCGTATCTATGGAGACACAGGCCGTATGCATTAGTATTTTGCATGAAGGAAGATGGCTTTCATCATCAACACATGCACACACTGTCCATTAAGGAGACATTAAAAGACACTTAACATTTTCTAATAAAAGCCATATGTTATGGTTATGGATGTAAAAAGAGATGGGAGTTTGATTTATGCTTCTCCAACCTAATGACAGACACTGCAAAAAGATCTCAAACTCACAATAGCTAATTTATAGTAAAATAATTGACAGCATCGTTAACAAGCGAATGGTATATTAAAGCAATGCTTAGCAAAGTATAGTCAGGCAACAAATCCACCCTTACCTCCCTTATCATTGCATGTGCTACTTTCAATTACTGACAATTCCAGACATGCAAAAATTAGAATTCACTGCCATTTTGTCAAAAATTTACATCACAAAATTTCTCAGCCTAGTTGGATCTTAGACTTGCGCTAATGGTTATTTTATCTGTTTGGTGTATATATTTGACACCAAAACGTATTCCAAGGTAACATCTTAACGTAAGCATCGATTTACATAACCTTTATACCGTTCCACTTGAGCAAGTACAAGGGACATGGCATACGAACATAGCTGCAGATCTGAATAAAGCAAGATTTCCCTGGGCTGTATCTGGTATAGTAATGCCGTGAACGATAAGGAACAGGCTAAGGAAGGCTCAGCATTTACTCCAATGTAGCCATTCCTGGAGCATTTCCATGAGCACTGTTTACAAACACAAGCCCTTTGCCTACCTACCAGCACCTAACTGGTACCAAATGGTACCTGCTCTCATTGCGGGTCTCAGTGTAGGTGGCCAGGTAGAAGGGAAGAGCACTTGTGTATTTCAGGCAAGATCAGCTAACTGCAAATTTGGTCTGTTTATAAACTTACTTTGACCAAACGTAAGATCCCAGTTACTACTTGTTTGTTGTTAGATGCAGCGTGGTTAACAGTGCCCTGTTAAAACAATAGAGGCCAGGTTTAATTACATTCCAGGTTTCTAAATACTAATTCCTTGCGTAACACAATTCATTCTGAGAGATCAAACACTTTGCATGGTCTTCTAAATCTGAAGAAAAGGTAGCTTGTTTCAAATCACACCTTGCCTCAGACACCTACCTTAGTAAAGCAAAGAGGTCTTGCAGTTCTCCATACCATAAAGGATCCCATTTAGGTAACGGAGGCAAAGCCTGGTACCTGGAGGTCTGAGCAGAGCAGCAGATGAGGTGATGGAAAAGGCCAGCTTTACAGAGACACCGGGTGCACCTGCAGACCGGCAGCCATCCAAGGGGATTTGCAAAAGCATCTTCTCAGGCAGCTTAAACATCACCACGCACCAACGGGTACCGGGCACCTAAATCAGTGGGACATTTCTCTAAAGCTTACTAGGACCTTTTGCACAGCTTCAGGCACCTTTGCAAATGTATTTTCCCTAAGGAGATACAGAGGGAAAATCCCCTCAGAGTTGCACAGACATGGTAAAGCAGCGTATCTGGGAGTTAGGCTGTCCTCAGGTTCTGCCTTCTGCACGTGTGAGGCCTCATAGGCCTCTGCGCGCTCACCGTGTGTGAAAAATACTTTCCTAGCACCTCCTCTCCTTCAGTTTTCTGTCTGGCCATGCTGTTCTTACACAAGCCAAACTCCAGGTGACTTCCTGAAGCACTGGGCCTGCAGGTGTCCAACATCCTTGCCCCCTTCCTTCTCCTTCTCCTCCTGCTCCCCAGCAGGGTAAGGTTGGGGTTGTGGCGGTTCCCGTCCACGAGGTCAGTCAGGGTTTGGGAACGTGGAGCTCTCAGCAGAGCTCCTGTGTGAGCACTCACATTCACACTGGACAGTCAGGCTTTGTTAAGGAACCCTAAGGGAAGCTTTTGTAGTCCTTCCACATCAACATTTTGCCTGTTTTTAAATAAAAGCTGGTTGGGGTCCCATGGAAAGGCTCCAAGAGCTTGATTTGCCATCCTGGCACATACTGCACAGCCCTGATCTGGAAAAGGAAATTAAGGCTCATGGTAAAACTTACTCACCCGTCCTGCCTGTTCTCCCTTGGCACCCCGCAGAAGGATCAGCTTTCCTCGGCAGGTGACTTTGGAAAGGCGAATTTTGGTCATGAGGAAGGAGACAGTATAAAGGCTAGCAGGGAAGAGATGAGAGAAAGGAATTTCTTCCAGCTTTCTTTTGTACGTTCAGGAGCCCTTCGGCCCTGCTGTGTTCATTTAAGCTAGTTCTTCTCCATTTAAAACGCATCCTGTAGGAATGGGAAGCCTTACGGGACCCTAACTCCTGATACCCATATTGTCTTGGGGCGTAGAGTCTTGGGAGGCTTCTGCTGAGTCTTTGGCCTGCTGGGCAGAGCTCAGGACCCGGTGAAATCCCCCGGACAGGTGCAGGTAGGCATCACCCCTTGCGACGAGGGCTTGTACTGCAGCAGTCTCGTGCAGGACATGCTCAGCACAGGAATGCTCCTCGGACAGGCATCTTGGGAGAGCAGACAGGGAGGAGGATAGCGGCCCCACACGCATCCCCTACCCACAGGGGCCCTTCTCCCTGAAGGGGGATTTTGTGGAGCTGCTCTCCCGCCTCGGGCCTTTGAGCGAGGTCTCCCCTGCAGAGGCATGGCTAATCCTGCACTGAAGCTGGCTGCAGTAATTCTCACCACATACGCTGACAATTAACTAGAGAGCCTAATTTTAACTGCACGCTGCATTACAGCTCTGGAAAAATGAGAATCCTTCTGCATTAAATGAAGTTTCCCCTGCACTTGTAGTATAATGGAATTACAGATAGACATCTATTAACCACCGTTCTGCCATTCATTATTAACATAGCTCCTCAAATCCCATCTTATTCCTATTTTCTCCCATCAAGAGACACGTTACTGCAAATCCTTACATAACCCATTAGTAAGCACGGCCTCGGCTCCTCTGCATGCTGTCCAAAGCAGCCTTTGCAATCCCAGCTGGAAAGTGTTGGCCATGGCCCAGCTTCTGTCCCTGCTGAGTTAGCCAAGGTGGGAGCAGGCACGCTCACAAATAACTCCTGTGAGTTGTCCCTCTGGCTTCAGAAGGAATAAATTTTAAAGCTACCACCAAGGGAAAAAAAAAAAAAAAAAAAGAAAAAAAAAAAACCTGATCATAGCAACCGTGCAGAACCAGGACTTCATTGGTTCGAGTTGTTCAGGAGCACATAGGAAGAGGGGATGTCTGCCCGGAAAATCTGACAGTCTCTTTGAAGCCACAACCTCACAGGAAGATCAGAGGGATGATGTTACCCACCTGACAAAGCTATGGCTGCGTAGCACAGACTTAGCAGTTTTAATTCATGGAAGGGTGTTTAATCCATTTGCCCATTTCCAATTTTATTTCTATTATCTTAAAACCTTTAAAAAGAACAGCATCTGTTGCCAGTTTCATATATATATATATATATATATATATTTAATCTTACTTAATTTTAATGTTTCTAGGTTACAAAATTTACTTGATTTAGCCAAGGCTGTGATTGTATGGATCATACCATCATATGCATACACATATATATGCCTTCCTATCACCAGCACCTCCTACGATGCTGAGTGGGATTTCCATATGAGGAAGGACTTCAAAATTAAACCATCCCAAAATACTTCTAAAAATGTAACCTTGGTGCCACTGAAATCAGTATGAATTTAGTGACTAGTTTGAGAATGATATTTGGTCTCTTCTTTCTTTAAATCCATCCCTATATGCCTTCAGTTATTTTCTTTGCCCTTCCCCTGACATTCACTATTTTGGTTCTGGTTAGGGGAAAAGAAAAAAACAAAAAAGGCAACAAAATACTGGTGTTCTGTGTTGGTGCATCACGAGACAAAGGATACAAAGATCCATTATTATTTTTAATGTAGAACTGATCAAAAATGGGATATATTAGACTGCACCTAGGAAAATTATTTTTCCAATTTGTTTTTCCTTCTGTTGTACAGTATTTACTCGTACTCATCTTTCTTATTTTTAAAAATACAAGACTGCTTGGTGTATATTTATGGTACTACCTTAGTATAGTCTATACATACTGCCTTTCTTTTACCATAAGGAGAGGTGGTAGCAAACCAGCAACAGAGGGTCCAGCCTTACTGTTACTGAAATTCCCTGCCAAAATTACCAGCCACTTCAAGGACAGAAATGAATTTTCCTGCAGTACAGTTCAGGAGAACAGATTAATTGCAGCGTAGGGCTTTTTTTTTTTTTTTTTAATATATACATTGCATGTTTCTGTTCCAAAGCACTGAGGTACAATAGATCCTAGCACCTTATTAGGAACGTACGTTTGCAGATATATGTATTTTCATAACCAACGACCTGAGCACACTGCATCAAAACACAGAGCTCTAATGCTGGCAGAGCTCTTCATGATCTTAGTGGCATTTTTCACTGCAAAGGACTACAGAATACATCCCCATTCAAACCACATGACTTCAATTAATGCTCAATCAAATCATATCCAAGTGCTGTATTTCATAATAAAAAGGGCAAGCAGGGGTATTCAGATTGAAAAATTGAGTCCTAATTGATAATCATGTAAGTGTAAGCCTTTCTCATGCAAATACAGATGGCAAAGCTGAGTTTCCATTTTATATAGGCTTGATTTTATGAGATGCAGTGCATTCTTGTGGGATCACACTAACAGAACAGCCATTTTGAGATCTTTGCAACTGTATTTCAATTAGCTTAGTTACTACATGCTGAATTTGATCTGAGGAAAGAACAGCATTAGAAGGCTGACTTGGCTTTCTCTGCTGAACGTTGCATTACATAAATACGTGATTCACTCCAAACAGTACTCGGGAGGCACGGCGGGCGTTAGGATCAGATGAAATCAGAGAAATCTATGGAGAACCACCCCCTCCCTGCAGAATATTTCCCAAATAATTTTTACATCTCTCTCCCGTGCTCAGTAAGGACCCAGATTTTGCTGTCTTCGCTCCTCCTCTGCTAGCGATCCCTTACTCCAGGAACGTCCCCGTTTCCTCCAGGCTGAGCACAAGGCACTGCCCGACACGGGTAAAGGTGAAAGGACCAGGCCCTAATTGATTTTTATTTCTTTCAGATATGATTTATAAGATATAATGGGGGCTCTAATAAATCACGCTATAAAAATGAAGAATAAGTCTGAGTCTAAGGCTTTTTACAGTGATTGCTTATGATGTAAGACCCTTTAATGACAGTAAGTTAAAATTGCATTGTAATGGCCCTTTGTAAATGCAATAAATCTCTGCTTTCAGTGCGCTGCGGACAGCCAGCGATGTGTGTGCTGCACATGATCCTCCAGCACAGGCACTCGCTGCTGGCACACTCTTATGTAATTATGTTGATACTTGAGGAGCAGCAGCAAACCTCAGCACTGCTAGGTTTACATTGAGAAAATGGTCAGGACCATCGTGGTGTCGTGAAAGCGTGAAACTGCGTAAAATACCTGCCTGGCTTTTTGTTTGGAAAATTTGGATAGAATATCCCTTCAAAAAAGCAGGAAGATGGAATATTGTTTTTAAATAACAAAAGGCAAAAATCTATTCCTACTGAGTCTTACAATTTCCCAGAGACAAATACAAGACAGGACAGGCGTTTTGGTCTGTGCAACCAACCTGAATACATCCGATTTTCTTAGTGTCCTGTCTGATCTACTCAGCATCCACACGCACAAATCAAAAAATGCACAGAAATGCACCACCAGATTAACAGCTCCTTGATTTAACTGCAGCAGAATCCCTCATCCTGCCCACCTTTGCCCTCTAAAAAACACATTTGAAGCATTACCTGCATTTCCTTATTGAAATACAGAAAGATCTAGTCAGTTCAGGTTGCCTATGACTTCACATGCATCAGGAATTCTGCTGCAGAATTTGCTTTGAAATTTCATCCCGATAACCCTATTCTAGTTGTCACTTTGGGTTCTTGCACTGTTCATTACTCCAGATCAATTGACAGGTGGAGATGGTGGAGGCCATTGCTATGATTTGTCCAGGCATAAACTAAATGAAAAACTTTGATCAGAGTATTTCTAATTTGATAACAGACTTCAGGGAAATGTAGAAGGAGAACTCCCTACAAAAGGCTGGGCACCTACAACCTCTGTTGGAATGGAGATCATGTCTATGGCGTAAAAGGACACGGGCAAGGAGTTAAGAGACTTTCAGTATAGTCCAGCCCTGTCTTGTAGGGCCATTGCCCCAGCTATCACTGATTTTAATGGGATCCAGCTGAGACCCATGCAGACCCACTTCAGAAAACTAATTTTCAGGACAAAGACAATTGTGAAATTTCCTCAGCACTAAATGCAAAAGGGCTTGCCTCCACAGCAGCCTCCGATCTCTACTCTGAAAACAAAACAACACAATATCGGCCACATTGTGCTATTCCTCTTTCTTATTTTAGCATGGATCCCCCCATTGCTTACAGTGTGGAGTTCTGCAAGAAAGCTAGTGACAGTACGTCTTAGCACTTCTTGGCAGTGTGTCCCGCATGCGGCAGAACTGATTTTAACTCAAGTTTTTTTGGTAAAGCACGTGTCAGGAGAAACCAGGAACAACCTAACTATGCTATAATAACTCAACCAATACCAGATTGAGTCAATTGCTCTTGTTTTTGTTGTTGTTGTGTTGGGGGAAAGGGAAGTAGTAGATCAACTACTATCTGAATTTTGCTTAAGTGATGTTGAAATTTAGTGTTCAGCTGATATGAGTTCAGTGTTTATCCTACCAAGAAGTCCCAAAGGTGCTAGTGATTTCATTAAAAGACCTAATGTAAATTTTAAACTGGTATAGATCTGAAATGTTAGTTATGCCTATGCAGCAGGAAATCAATACTGCAAAAGTGCCTTCACTTTTCTAAAGAAAACATCTTTTGGAGAACCTGCTCCATGAAAAAAAGCTCCTTTTACCTTCTAGGTATCAGTGTGACGTGAACCAAAGGCAAATCACAAGTTTGAAATTCTGTAGCAATTCTATGGTGTCTTCAACTCCAAAACACAAATTTGTCTTCACACATTTGATCATCAGCTATAGCAACTCCTGAGACAGCACATTTACTGTCTTCAAGGGATATCTGGGCTAGGACAACAGGGTGAGCCTTTGTTCTGATTAGGTGATCAGTAGCTTTCATGCAGAACTGTCCACATATTGGACTTTCAAGATCTCAGTTGTTCAGAAGTGCACACAGAGCTACATGCTATGAATTTACTAGAAAGCAGGGAGGGAAAAAAAAAAAAGGCTGAGATTTGGACAGATGATTGCAAGTAACTGAATTAATGCAGATTATCAAGGAAACATTTGTTAGCAGATCTGACTAAAGTCATTATTTGTGTGCCCTACTTGCTTGCATATGTTAGCTCTGAAGAAACCTCTCTGGGGTTTCAGCTAGCATCTACAGCACACCAGTAGCATGAAGAAAGGCCATATCCGTATAGCTTCCCAAATGAACGTTTGCAATGGGGCACAGACAGCACATTCTGTTAGCTCATTAAACCAGATCGTTTGGGTATGCCACAGCCCTCCTCCCTCATTTTCTGTGAATTCTACTCCATGTGGAATCGCAGGACGTTGAGTCTTGGTACATCATTTTCAAAATGGGAAAATAACTTTCTTGGGTTACTTGCATTTTTTTTGGCACTCTAGACGCCCTAAAAGCACCAAGTTAACAATAACAATTGGTGGGAAGAATTTACACTGTGTGGATATAGTTTCGCAAACCAAGCTGGACTAGAGGAGGAAATACCCAAAGCTATGATTCTTCAAAAGGTGTTGTACAGCATTGTACCTGGCTGTGCCCAGAGCTACCTTAGTATTGTTGGTAACTACCTTGTATCAGTCTTGTTAATGCCCAGATTTTTTCTTAAATGGGGTATTAGTAGTGTGAAGCAGTTCCCCTTATGCAATAATCCAGTGGTTACAGTTTTTGCTAAGGATATGAAATTTCAAGTTTAGTATATTCCTCCAACTGCATCATTTTCAAGTTTTCACCATCTCTGCTCGGAGGGCTTCCCTGCTTCAGGCAGCCGCATAATCCAGGCAGTTAGTGAGGGTGATCCACTCTGCACGGCACGGGGAATTCACAAAGCAATACACTGGATATGTGACAAAGCACTTTTTTCCCCAATAATATGGAACAAGGCAGCTGCTCCCGTGTGATAATTCCACGCTACTGAACTCAGCAAGGTTAAGAGCAGAAAACAGGTACCTGTAGTGACGTTGCCGGAGACCGCGTGACTTAAATTTTGTGGGATTTGTATATTAAACTGCTTGCCAGTTCAAAGTCAGTGCCTGTTAGGAAGTGACCAGGTGTCATCGGGTGGCTGACTCCATGATGAGCTTTAGTGATCTCTGCACAGCCCCTACGGAGAAGGAATGTACAAAACGCACAAAAAATTAGCACCTCAATAGAAGTAAAGCCAACTTTTTCACCCCAGAGCCTGAGCAGTTGTGCCGTGCTGAAAAGCGAGCTCCCAAGTCAGTGTAAGGACACACCATGTAATTTGTTCTGAACTAACCTGCATTTCCCAGGGCTATCAATCTGTCACCTTTCAGTCATGCCATGTAAATACAAGTATTCTTAAAATCTCTGAAGGCTGCCTTTTCATCAATATTTTAACATAAACATTCTTTTCATTTAAATGGAAATTGATCACTTGCATTTTATTACTTTTTAATATTTCAAAGTGCATTAAAGGAAAGCGATCTCAATTAAACTACTGCCAGGGTAAGTTTAACTTGGAAAAGCACTAGAACAAGTCGTTGCAAGGTTAGTGCCTTTTACAGCAGGTATGCTTCAGGTCTGGCATAAACAAACAACACAGAAGTGATCAATAAGCATTCTAGCCATTACATTCACTGCCTTCATGATACACACAAAACTAGCCCAAAATCTCAGTAGAAACTCGTGTTAAGTATCCTTTCTCTACCTTATATAAGAGTCTTGTGAGGGGCTTTAATGAAGCGGAGGCAGTTTTTCAGTTTTTCCATCTGTTATCAAATCAATTCCTGCTAGAACAGAAACACAACTGTATTAAAATTTAAAAGTGACAAATACTGGTAAAAAAAAAAAAAAAAAAAAAAGTCTTTCAATGCTTCAGTAGCTTTGCTGTGCAGTCTAAAGAAGAAAACATTTTGATAATAAATAAAACATTTAAAAACCTGATTTAATTGAAAAAAAAAAAAGACATAGCAGAAAAATGAATATAATGGTAAAAGTTGTAAACCAGAGCACAAAAAAGGAGGTTTAAACTAGAAATGTTATACTCCACAGCATTCAGATTTAAGTTTTAATTTGGGGTAGCACCTTATTTTTATATTCTGCAGAAGCTGGGGGGGCAGAGGGGAAGCAAGCTTTAAAATGTGAATGTCACTGAGCATTTTTAAAAACATCACATTTATCCTATTTAATATAGGGTCATAAGACCAAGTTGTAGAGTATTCCAAAACCAAATTCTTCTGTCCCTCTTCCCATTTGGAGGCCTAAGGAAGGACCTGCAGGGTAAAACTCCAAAGAACACTCCAGTTTAGCTTCACTTCTGTGCAGTGGACTAAAAATGAATACTTAATATTTATATGAATCATTGTCAGTGTCAAGTAAGATGAAGTTTGTAAAAATAGAACCAAATCAGGGAAAGACTTTGAGATTCAGTGGGTAAATGCCTCTTTACGTACAGTATTATTTATAGGTATTTTTCTAATCTGGTCTGTCATCTTGTCTCTTAAAATTATTAGAAAGGGGAAAAGGAGGAACTACGGCAAACATAGATGCAAAAGTAATCCTGCTGAGAGCTGTGGCACAAGTACGAGCAAAAGCTGGGGAGTTTGGAGCTGTGTTCCTAGGCCTCTTGTTTTCGGTATGTTCCACAAGAAAACCAGATCAGCCTATATATATATATATATAACCACCAAGGTGAAGTACTTTTTTGTGCTTCCTTCATTCCAGTAGGATTTCTTAGTGGTTGTATTTCTGCTAGGAGCAAAAATTGGCCTTTGCTGTTATGGCATTTCTTGCAAATACAAACTTCCCTGGCTCTTGACTTTAACAGCAAGGTCCAATTCAGACCGTCAAGAAATTTCATCTAATCTCTTCTTAGCACGACTAAACCTATTTTAGAAGCAAGACGTCCATGGTTACAGGTGTAGGAATTGTGCTAAACTTAAGCTGAGATCCCAGGTGTGAAGGTTGGGAACGGCAGCTCCTTTTTGCAACCAGGATACTTGCTCACACCGTTCATCCCAACAGCTCCTAAAATTCTGTGGTATCCTTTGCTCCTCGTTTTGAGGACTTCAGCAAAAGGACAAAAGTGAGGTTTCTGCTGGGAGGAAGGCTGTATGTGACTTTGTCCAGGTACGGCAGAAGGTTGGTCTAGAGGTTTTGCTACAAGAGCTGTGATGTACACAGTGGCGTAGGGCTCAGAAGGACATTCAGGAAAGTCTCAGTAGAAGATTTATGTGCTGCAACTACGTTCCCGAGCCCTGTACCACGTTTCCTGAGAGACCAGAAGCTGTAAAAAATCAATAAAGATTTGGATACAAATGGAAAATGCATCTTCTCATTCACTACCTGCACTGCACATGATGCTAGCTGTAATCAAGAACAAATTCCAGACGACCCAAAGCTATCAAGCTGCAGAATCCCTGCTAGCGCTCACTGCAGTCCTGCTATTAAAATGCCCACAGGCCGTGGAAACGCTCTTAAGCCAAGTCACTAGCCTAAATTCTGAATTCTTACAGTTAATAGAACTCACCACTAATTTGCAGTTTAGGTACAACCTTTTTTTTCTTTTCTTTCCTTTCCTTTTTTCTTTTTTTTTTTTTTAAAATAAATAAATAAACCTACCTTAATCAAAATGCTAAAGAATCACTGTTGGCTTTGAGCTTCTCACGATGCGGAGGCACTGATTTAATTTTTTAAACATACATGGAGAAAGAGACAAGCTGAAAGTGAAGTGTCATTGGTCCTCTTTACCATTTATTCCACAGCCTCATTTGTCTTTGCATTACAGCTTTTGGAAACTCTGCAGATGATGCTTAGGGACAGCCTTCTCACAATATACAGCTTTTTATTTTATTTTATTTACTATGAAACAGCTTTTGGAGTATCAACAGTTAAAGTGTGTGTATTCTGCTGTTTAAGATCTACAGCTGGCCAAATACATGTACATATATTTTCTGGAAAAACAAACAAACTTTTCTACCCCTTCCTCTTAAAGAGAGCGTATTAAAAGTCCCTCTTTTCTTCATGAGAAAATAATCATTTTTTCTCCCATTATTAGTTTCTTTCCTCCCTCAACTTTACTTCAGAAAAAAAGTGAAAAGCTAAAATGGTGGGTGGAAAGAGCAAAAGAGCCAGTGGAAGGGGGGAATGACAGAAATATAAAAAGCAGCTTTCTCCACAAACCTGCTTATCTGCTACAAGCTTTGGAAAAGGAAAAAGCCTTGCCGGTTTGAAGTCTGCAGGACACATAAGGCAAATATCATTGAACATTTTCAAGGAAAAAAGGACTTTTTTTCCAATTTCCATTGAGTTATTCCCAAATAACATTCCACATGTCCTGCTTACAGTCCTTTAGCTTTGTGTTGGGTGGGTTTTTCTTGTTTGCAATTTAGTTGAGGATAAAAATAGGTTTCCACATAAATCAGGAGGATAGGGGCTTGCTTGTGAATTTTTCTTCACCTTTCTCAGCCTGGCTTTGTGTTTCTGTGTCCCTTTCTGGACAAAAAAACCACTCTTCCTTTTAGGAGGATCAACATCATCTCATCCTTCTGGTTGTTCCCCCTTCACCCAGAGGCTGTGGCGCCAGTTCTGTTTTTAAGCACCATTTAATTGTTGTTGGATGACTGACCTGCTGCTCACAGAGCATGAGATGCTATGCAGCAGAGGAACTGCAGTCATCATCAGACATTCAAAGGACACTCCTGAAGCAGAAGTACAGAAAATAGTGGGTTCCAGTATAAGCAACGAGAAAGAAAATGTCAGAAGTAGGACATGGCAAATAGGAGACAGGAGGAGGCCTCAGGATTAGAAGAACAAATGACTGTGAGGAGAGGGAGGTCTTCAGTGGGCTCTTCAGTGCCCACTACAGCAGCAGAACAGCATTGGGAGCCTGAAAAGGGAACACAGGGTGACAGATCACCTGCCTAGTAGCAAAGAAACAAGACCGTCAACAGCTCAACATCTCAAACTGGTAACCAACAACAAATCCCTCCTCCTTTTCTAGCGAGGTGAGGACATAATCAGACTAATTCCAATGAATAAGCAACATGCCGGTACATTTGCATGTGCCACAAGCAAGAAGGCAGCCCTCGCAAGAAGATGAGAATTTGCAGTGATAGGTTTGTGTAGTAAAAAGAGTATATTTTGCTGTTGCAAGCTTGCCAATGAAGTGTTAGGCTCCACAGTGAAAAACCTCTTGCACAGGAGAAGCCTTTGCTGTAGGGGCATTTGAGGTACTTGGGCAGTGAGTTCAGATGCACTCATTTTTTTACTGTGGCCTAAGAAGGTCAAACACCTTGATGGCTGGCACGAGAGCTTGGCAGGCAGGAAAAAAAAAAAAAAAAAAGGCCAAATTAATCTATTTAAAAGCCTATGGCAGAGACTTCACCATTCCAACCTAGCCAAAACAGCTTCTCCTCTTAAGAATCCTGTACAATAATTATGGTCTTCACCACACAGAGACTTCTCTCAGCTGTCATCCAACACTAAATGGGATTTCAGGAGAGGGAAATAAAAAAATAAAAAAGCTGGCCTAAGAACCGCATATGGTACTCATGGAAGTGAGAAGGAGCCACAAGGCTCTTGCTCTGTCAGACCAAAGGATGCAGGTGTCTGTGTCAGTCCCCATAAGTATAATTCCAGGGATGAATCTCATTGCACATCAAATCCAGGGACAATTTGCAGCCCTTGGCCCTTGTTTGACCACATCACTTTAAAAGGAAGTCTGAAATAAACACAGTCTTCAGTTGAGGATATGTGATGTCTAATGAAAAGATGACTCTGATATGAACATTTAGGATTCAGTGGCAGATACAGTGACTGTGCTGAAACAAGAGGCAAGGCAGAGAAAAGCAGTACCATCTCGTGTAGGAAGCACAGGAACTCACCAATTCTTGGTGTAACTGCAGAAGTGACCTCTGGCAAGCCCCAACTTCTTGATAGTGATTTTTTCCCTCTGTAATCAAGAAAACAGAGCACAGTAATTTGGAGATAAAGTTTTACGAATCTCCAGTATCATGTCTGCTTTAAGCAGGTGAAGTGAGGACATCTTTTTGACAGCAGAAAGAAGTGAAGTTCTCCTCAAAATAAATCAGAGGGATCAGAAGGCAATCTTAGATTTGCTTCATTCTGATTGTTCAGCATTCCTCAGTAAGATTGACAGGAAATGAGAAAGCAACGCTTTCATGATTCAGGGAGGTAAAAATTAGGACCATTTAAGACTATCTACAAAACCTTTCTAAACAACAGTTAAAAAAAATCAGATTATTTTTGCTCCTTCAGGTGAAAAATGAAAGCAGAACATGCGTAACAGATTACTGACAGTATTGACTACTACAGAATATCTAAGTAATGACAAACTTTAAAAGGGAATATATATATATATGTCCCAGAGAAATTTTAAAACGAAGCATGAAGAATTGAAGCACCAGTAGACGTATGCATACCCTACACATTAACTGGTTCCAGTTTACAGCAACCTCATAAAGCCAGAAAATAGTCTAAGTGAATCTAAGTGAACACAATAATCCAAGTGAAAAATAATCCAAGTGAACCCATTGCCTCCACAACCTGCGTAATCTGCACGGGGATTTCAGACTGAAGGAGGAAGTTATACATCAGCCCTGAAGTGGCAATGGAATGAGCCCTTGACTTTTATCTTGCTTGTTGTCAGCAAACACGCTGCCTTCCCAGAGCAGGCAGACTAAGTATGAGCTGGGAGCTGTGTCTAGCAAAGCGGGTCTCTTCCAAGAAGACCAACACCCTACAGCACGAGATGCCAGAGCAGATGCTGCGTGTGCTGAAGCCCGACATATGCTGGAGCTCCCTGAGCAATCACAGAAAGGCAGAAAGCACACTAGGATCAGTCACGTTTTTTTGGCTGGGGTGGGCTAATCTCTAGGATCATCTTTATTATTATGACAAAGGCACCGGGCAGATATTGAAGATAAGCTGATGGCTTCCTGAGAAAACACGCAGCTGGAGGTGGCAGGGGTGCTACTGCAGATCAGGGTGAGAGGAAAGGAGTCAGGGCAGACAGAAGAATGGCACTTGGACCGTTTCTGTCACTGGCAGTAGGCTAGAACAGGCAGCAAGCTCGTTACTCCCCCAAAGACTCCAGGAGTGAGGCAGACAATACAAGAGTTGCACATCTCCTTTGGAGATACGAATCATTTTGAAAATCTCCTCTAAGACGCAGACCATAAGGTGTGTTGGGCATGCATGAACAGCACAAGACTCACTCACGGGGGCCTTCTTCCACTGTAATAGTCCAGTAATCCCCATTACAGGTGAGCAGAAAATGGCTATGAAATCTCTCAGGGGGCATTCAGGTCCTTGAAAAGAAATGTACAGCTTTTCAAGAGTTAATTCTAACTCGTATTTACCATTGCGTTTTTTCTTTATGACATACAGGGATGGCCTGAAATTGCTTTTATCCTGCTTGTCTAACTCAAGGCGTCTAAAATGTCAACCTGGACTTGCCTGTTGTTTTTTTTTCCTGGAGCAATCCCTGAAGGTACCAGGAATTCCTCCTTTGCTAAATAGAAGAATGAGGGGAAGGTGCTGGAAGTTTAACAAAAAAAAAACACTTTCCTCCCCAATGTTCATTGATTAAAATTAACGTGAAGTTAATCAAAACTCAAAGCAAAACAAAAAGAAAGGTCAGGAAGAAATAATATCAGAAATATGTTTCCCAGTCAATTGGTTGCTTTTCAGGCTTTAGCAATGTAACTTCAAGACTTATGCAACCACCATAGAATTTGCTAGGTCTGAATTCTACTTTAAAAGCACCCATAAGCAGAGACTTCTCACCAATCAACTCCTTCTTATCCAAGCCCACTTTTATTCTCCTAAGGAAAAAAATAATAAAGGAATAAGCTTCCTTTTAAGTCTCCTTTGTATTTTCAGCCTCCTCAGATGCCACTGCAGCATCAGAGAAGAAAATATCAGGCACCTTCCTTCCTGCTTACTGCAGATCGAGTCAAGGGCACTTTGATTCACACAGGAGTCACTGCCTCACAGTACACAGCCCTTGCAGAAAGGAACCTGGGGGAATCAGTTTATGGCAGCTTTCCTATTGTGCCAGGTTAACAACATATGCATCCCTGAACTTTTAGCCCGCACTGGAAAAAATGGTATTTGCTAGAGCTACATAGCCAAAAAAACGTATTTTGCAAATACATGCTGCAATCAAATGTCTGTTTGTAACATCTATGACTTGGCAAATTGACTTGCACATCAGACACACATTTTGATGGTTAATTTTGAGCCCTAATGCAGCAGAGCAGTCTTCTCTCTGGCTGGTGTCTATCCTTTTCAAAAGGCAAAGGAGTGCATAAATTATGTTTAAAAAGAGGTAGGCATTTTCTACCCACAGCGTAGAGTCCCTGTAGGTGGATTATTATCCAGGAATACCAAAGAGGTAGGAAGTCTGTGATTTAACCCATTCTTTGTACTATCTCCTTGCCTGCTATTGTTTTTATTGCAGACAGCCTGAAATTATCTATATGGTAGGATTTTTCAAGTAGCTCGGCAGCACAGCAACTGCATGTCAGACAGACAGCAGGAGTTAAAGCCCTGAAGCAAGAATTTTGTTCTGAATTAATAGCAGGTAAACCCTGCAGGAGCATCCAGTTGCCCCTGCTGATGTTGGCACTAGGAGGTTGTTACAGTTTACTCTTGTTAATATTTCCCTTGCCAGACTCTGTACTAAAATTGCCATGTATTAGCAGAACAGGATGGACTCTGAACCGTCTTGCAGATGATGAGCAGGATTTTGAAGCCTATTTCTTCTGCAGTATCTGTCTGAACTACTCGGAAAACAGAAAGCAGTGGCTTCCACGCTGCACTGAGAAATGTGTATAGTAGGATATGGCATGACCTCTAGCTAATCAAAGTAGGCAGAGATGTTCAGCTGAACAGAGCTACCTGCACTTACTCCAGCCAAGAACTTGGCCTGTAACATGGAGGTCAAAGAAAATATTTTGAATTGGGATGAAAATAATCAGCATCAGGGCTGAATATTCCTAAGTCCCAGCAATCTGCCTACAAGTGCTGGCTGTGAGCATCTTCAGCAAAGAAAAGAAAAAAAAAGAGAAGGGTTTATAAATGTTTAAGAAGGGTTTTAGATTTTCTTAGATGTCACTGCTCAACTTTCTGTAACTGTGAAATCAAAAGTAATAATGTTTGACTTGTCCATTACATCTTTTTCCAGAACTACAAAATACTTCAGAAGAATGTCAGTCCTGGCCAAACCTCTAGTGAGATATGCAAGAATTCTTCCAATTTTCTCACAAAGTGGGCAAACTGAGGCATAGAAGCCGTTTTCTCAGGCAATTCAAAAGAAATATTAGCAGAAAAAGAAGGGATCCTACCTCCCACAGCTAAAACAAACAAAGCAGAAAAGATTTCACCAGACACACCAGTGTAAATAGATCTAAGCAGGTCAAAACCAATACTGCTAAATCCAGGAATACCTCTTTGGTGCTTAGCTCCAAAGAATGCTGCTCTAAAACCTAGTATTTCTTCTCCCGGTGCCAAAGACTCAGTATTTTCCAGGCAAATTGACATCTTCCACACTATCTTGGTCTTCTTTCTTGAATATTCATTTTCCTCTAGAAAATAAACAAACATCTTATTATACTCAGCCAGTGTAAGATGCAGGCAGGGTGTAGCCAGCCCCATCCCCTCCTGCCCACGCGTAGCGGAGAGGAGTCTCCGAGAGACCAGGCAAGGTGAGGCAAACCTCAAGAGAAGGTAGAGGGAGGATTTTGCAAAGAAAATAAGAGCTGTGGCATGTTAGTTAGCCTGAGGACATGAAGGAAGGAGGAATCCCTCAAGGGGAATGCAGAAACATGGCACTTCTCCTTGCCACCTTCTGCAGAGTTTCCATCAGTCCGGGATTTCCAACCCCATAAAAAGGACATTAAATAACAGCAGACCCCCTTCAGCAGCCTGCACATGGGGTTGCAAAGGGACCCATCTTAAATCCCATGTGAATTTATCCCTTCCTATCCCCGTTCCTGCTTGCAGTGTCCATAGCACCTTCAGTTAACCAGCTGAGATCAGCTGTCACAGGGAGCACTCAAGTTCAAGCTCCTAAACGAAAGTTTGGGCAGCAGCTTTCTGACGACATGAAGCTCCTGAGGTCGGTCTTGGTTGCATAAAGCACTGCTCATCTCTTCTTCTTGAGTTCTTGTGCAGTTTTGTCTTGTTTGATAATTGATCCTGTCACCCAGTACTTGGTATAGCTGAGCTGAAATTCGTACCTGTGATCTTGTCAGGGCTGAAAGTTGTATTTTGCAACTATTTCCACTTTGCACCCAAGGGAGAGAAAAGAGAATACAGATACTTCATTTTCCCAATCTGTTGTAACGCAAATTAAAGTGAATGATTTTAGGATGACATAGGAGCTAAGGGCACCGTCAGCACAAATCCAAACCCCATTTGAAGACTGCCAAATGCTGTTTGCTCAGGAGTAAATAGATATAGATATTTCCAAAAATAACTTTTCTGCCATGAAAAATTCACACAAGATTCCCACCAAAAAAATAAAATATAGTGTACTACTGTCTTTATTACTTTATTGCCCTGAATGTTCTCTAGGATTTGCTTACTGGACCATCCAGAGGCCCTGGTAAGGAACAAGGCCATGCTATGCTACCTTATGAATTAAAGAGACTGAGATTGATTTCAATGGTAATTAATATGAGCAAAAGAACCTTAATTTATATCCATCCATCCATCCATTAATATATATTTAAACTCTGAGAAGCATTTTATTGTTGTTGTTTTCTTTCTCCCTCCCCAAACGTAGAAGCATTCTGCACTATGATACATTAGGTATAGCCCAGAGAAGATTTCTTTCTAAAGAAAATTGAGCAGAGATCCTCTCCTAGCATTAAGCTCTGGGGCCTTAAGGTACTACATTTTTTAATTTAGGAAAGTTACTGAGAGTTTTAATAAGTTTTCATACTCCTCTTAAGCCCTGAAAAGATGAACTGATAGCAGCCAAGTTATTTCTCTATATGGGTGCGACTTTTTAATTATTAAGTAATCCCTACCCATTGCTGACTATTTCTAAAGCACTCATAAAGCAGTTGTATCACACACACCACAGACAGAGCCATCTGAGGTAAGGCCACTGACCTCCTGCAGTAGAGTCCACTAATTATTCTGGATTTCCTTATGCACGTTTCCCATTTTGTGTCTGTGTATGAAGAGGATAACACCAGTGGAGACAGGCATTAAAATGCTGTTTCTTGCTACCTGCAGGTATTTTTATTGCCTATATACTGTACCTTTTTCTCAGCAGAACGTTTTCCCATAATAAGACAGAAGCTGAGGCAGCGTGACTGCCTGTGTACCCAGTTTTCCATCTCATACCACAAGCTAGTAAAACGAGCTTCCCCAGGGCGATGGGTATTTTCCCTCAAGGATGGCTGCCACCCTAGGCCTTGTCAGCTTTCTGCGTTCAGTTCTCTTGGCTGACCAGTTACTACAGATCCTTCAGTTCCTCTTCTTTAAAATCATCTTCTGGCAAGCACCATCCCGAGGAAGAACATATTGGGAAGCTCCTGGTATAAGGAACTGCAAACAGAAGGGCTTAGAGCGCAACTGAGCGCTTGCACGAATCCAAGCATGTGGTGTAATGTGCTACTGTATTACCTCAAAAGAATTCAATGCCACGTTGCTTATACAGTGCTGTTGTCGTAGCTTTCTCAGGAGACTGCCCTGACACACCTCTGGCTTGTGCCCTCTGCTAAGGGAAATGCACGTGGGAGCACAAGGGAAGGCTTGAGCCGATGGAAGCAGGGTGCATGGGCAGCCACAGTGCTGGGAGCTGACGGATCCAGCACAGCAGCCTGGCTGTTATCCATCTCATTTCAGTATCTAATCTCTCTAGACACTTATAATATGCCACTCACTGGTGTGCTCCATCTTAGCTGATAGTGAAATCATTTAATAGAAGTGGGTAGTGAGGTAGGTGACAAGCTGATTGATGGCAACGTCTTCATTTAAAGCTATACAACAATGCCAGACAGAGGCCTCAAGCAGCTCGGGAATACAGCTCTGCTGAAAGTTGTTGGTATCTGTGCAAGTTTATCATGCCAAGTGTGGCCTGCACAGCCTACCAGAACATCTTCCTAAGAAGCTGAGCTACCTGAAGCCCATTTCTTAAACCAAACAGCATCAGCATCTCAGGGGACAGCAGTCAGTGAGATGATGATGAGAATAGTCAGTTCTCCCTCCTAACAGGGACAAGCTGCTTTTCTGCTTCCTTAGGGTAACCAGAAAGTATCGATCTCTTGAAGCTACCTCTATTTTAACTGTGATCTCATGCCCCGGTGGCAAGCTGGTGCTGTCAGAAGACAAGCACGTACACACACCACCATGTCTCGTCCTCTGCGCCCCAGCTCTGCGTCGAGTTAGGGAGCAGCAAAGACCATCCCTTTCCTTTCTGAAGAGTCTTGAGCACATCACGTTGATCATTCACGGTCACTTCTCCTCCCCATTCCTTAATCCCGGCTGTTCCTAGGGAAAGCGATGGCAGAGCAGTCCCTGCCCACCCTTGTGCTGCCACACAGGCACAGCCTGACTGCAAACTCCACAGCCACAAATTCCCTCAAATCTGATGGTTCTTCAGTCCGTAGCCAACCTCCTGCTCTGCTTTAAGGAAAAAGAGGTGACTCTGGCACTTTTCACCTCCACCAGTGCTCTCATGGAAACTCTGAGTCCAGATAGTTCAGGAGAGACCTGCACGAGCTTCTGCATGCCTATTTATTTAGCTGCTGCGGAGCAAACAAAGCATATTCTCCTTAATTCATAAAAGAATATCTGGAGGCGGTGGCTAATTCTGTCCCAATTCTTCCACGCTCCATTCAAACTCTGCATTGCAGGGCTATTTCCAACCCAACAGCAGCCCGACGACAAGATTTCAGTAAAACCTGTATTGCCCAAGATGCTCAAATGGGCAGAACTAGAAGCATTTCCCTACGAGGAGCTGAATTCAAATTATTTGCTATGAGACTGGCATGCCAGTATTATACCCCCTTCAGATGACAGGAATAAGATGGAGCGAATTTGTTTGCTCACGATTGTCTTCCTTAATGAAGGAGCTTTATCTCGCCCCGTGCCACGTGTCGTTGCAGTTTCTGTGGCAACAGCTGACTGCACAGGGAAAGAAGTGGTGGCACAGAAATCACTGCAAATTGCTGGCGTGTAAACAAAGGCTACCTTTGGGTCCCTTTTGCTCGCATACTTCTTTGACTCAGTTCACGTTCATTTTCTGGTAGGCAATTGTTAATGGCTATGATATTTATTGCTTGTATTTTGGAAGCCACTGAGTAAATGTCCTATATGACGTACTTTATATGCCACCCTTTGCCAATACGTAAATGCAACTTCTAATTTAGGATAAAACCCATTTGATTTTTGTCCATATAGGCAAAATTCACTCTGTAGTCCAGCATAGAAAATCCGAGGAAAATCTCTCAATGAAAATGACAAAGTATAAAACATTAAATATATGTACATGTATTTCCGCATACATATGAGCACACCAAAGCAAATAGAAGATGACATGAAATGGAAGTTAGAGCAGGTAAAGTTTTTTTCTGTTCTGTTTTCATGGAAGAAATTGATGTCTGGCAATCTCGGGGAACAAGCTCAGGTCAGAACACCAAAGCTGTGTAAGCACTTCAAGTGACTGAAATGAAGTGCTGAGGAGGACCAGGCTTCATATCTTTCATTTAAAAAGACAGTTTATATTCAGAGTTAAAACTTCAGTAACTATACGCAAAGCCTTTAAAATAACTCAGGAAATGCCTTCACAAATCAAGACTGCAATGGTTGGTGCCATTTCTTTCACTACCCACATTTACTCACACCCTACTTCTCTAGAAACACATTCTCAAAATGGAAGCAACTTCTCAAGCACCAATCCGTGTTTCTGGTTTACTGAATTCCTGCAGAGTACTGAACTTCCATTGAGTAGAAACTAAGGCATCCAGATCAATTTGTTTAGTCATGAAAATACCAGAAGAATGGAAGACAAACAAGTTGCAAGGATGGAAACTCCTGAACTAGTTTTCTACCAGCTTCTCACAGTCCACATATGTTTTATGAAATGTGTCTGTGTTGGCTAGGAGACAGGGGGAGCTGCTTAAAAGCAGGGCACAGTCACTCACTTCTCTCAGTCCAGCTCTGAAGAGTGCTCTTTAACACAGTTTTCAGGCTGCTGTAGCCACAACATTAACAAAATTATTTTCTTACCTGATGGGTAACAGCAATACCAAAAATCCCGTAAAAATGCATTAACATATACTAACCACTTTGCAGCCCAAATCCTTTAGTCAACAACAGATTGATGCTAGCAGAAGCAAGACCGAGCTATTTATGGCCATCACTTGCTGTACTGGTTACACGGCCAAAACGCAGCGGCCCGAGCACAATACATCGTGCTTGAAAACCTCGATTGTTCTGCTGTGAGATCTGACCATGGCAAAGCCAACTCCACTCAGCTGCCAGCTGCAGTCCCCGTGAGCCAGGGTGCCACAGGGGGGGGTTTCTAGCTCGTCCTGTGGCACCCAGCCTGAGCGGAGCTGCAGCTGTA